AGGTGAGAGGCACGTCTTTGGGAGGGCGGTCCCTTGAGTGCGGAGCCCCGGCTGCTGGAGGGAAACGTGTCTGGGGCGGACGGAAGAGGCTCGGGCTTCAGGCAGGATCGGAGAGCCGGGCTGGAAGAGGAGCCGAGAGCCCTGCAGCGGGGCCGGGCGGCCACCGGCCGAAGCCCTGGCCGGTGGGAGGAGGGCGAGGAGGCCTCACCCTAACGGGCACGGCAGGGGCTCTCACAGCCATTGGAAGGGGCGGGGGCCCAGGCCGGCACAGTCAGGCCGTGGTCTCGGGGGACCTGTGATCCGTAGGGTTCCTTCCCGTTCTCTGTGGGAGTCCCCCAGTGGAGGCCCCTCTTGGGGTCTTTCTGATACCCCTTCTCTAGAGAGGCAGGCAGAATGGGCCGGGTGACAAGGCCAGACAACCCTAACTCTGTCCTCTGACCTGGCAGAAAGGACATCAAGAAGGGGGAGAAGAACACGATTGTCACCTCCTACAACAGGAACTTCACGGGTCGGAACGACGCGAACCCAGAGACCCACGCCTTCGTCACATCCCCGGAGGTGAGACGCCCCAGCGCCCTGGCGCCGCCTCCGGGCCACGCGGAGTCCTTGTCCTGACGAACGTGGAGTGAGCCCAGCGCTCCAGGCACTTACTGGGGGCTCAGCTTTAAGATTTTACTTGTTAATTTTAGAGAGAAGGGAAGGAAGGAGCGAGAGAGACATCAATGTGTGGTTGCCTCTCATGCACCCCCAAACCGGGGACGTGGCCCGCAACCCAGGCCTGTGCCCTGACTGGGCCTTGAACCAGCAGCCCTTTGGTTCGCAGGCCAGTGCTCAGTCCACTGAGCCACACCAGCCAGGGCCTGACTTGATTTCTTAAATGAGTGCTTCAGAAACACTTGTTTGCCAAAAATGAGTGACACGGTGGCCTTTCACGTTCCCAGTGTGCTGCCCATATGGGGACACTCTCATCCCAGCAGTGTTTCTTGCCAGGGCCTCTCCCAGCCCAGGGCGGCACCCCTGTACGAGAGGACAGTGTACCCAGCCGCGCTGGCCCTGCCCTGTGGGGCGCCGAGGCCCAGTTGCCCTTGGTTCCCGAGTCCTCTGCAGACCGGCTCCAGCTTCTGCGGAGAACTTGGAAATTTCCTGGGCTTCACTCTCAGTTTTAATCTAGGCTTTGGCTGGGGTTGGGGGACAGCAGTGATGTTCGGTGCTGACCAACAAACTGGCCACCCCCATTTCAGATCGTCACAGCCCTGGCCATCGCCGGCACCCTCAAGTTTAACCCCGAGACTGACTTCCTGACCGGCAAGGACGGCAAGAAGTTCAAGCTGGAGGCCCCGGACGCGGACGAGCTCCCCCGCGCGGTGAGCCGCTCTGCGCCCCCGCTCTCGCGCTGCAGCTCTGCCTCGGCCCGGGTGCCTCAGGCCGCTGCCGGTGCCACGGGGCCCAGACACGTGCTTCCCAGCATCCAGGCGTCTTGGCCCTGCCCGCCTCGGGCAGGCACGGGTGACACCTTTCACGAGAGCTACATCTGCTTCGGGCACAGGGGCTCATCTTCTGTGCGGGAGGGGACTGACGTCTCTGTCCCTGTCGTCTCCCTGCAGGAGTTCGACCCCGGGCAGGACACCTACCAGCACCCCCCCAAGGACAGCAGTGGGCAGCGAGTGGATGTGAGCCCCACCAGCCAGCGCCTGCAGCTTCTTGAGCCTTTCGACAAATGGAATGGGAAAGACCTGGAGGACCTGCAGATCCTCATCAAGGTCAGCAGCGTGGGGGCGAGGGAGCGCAGCCCCTGCCTGCCAGGCCCCCCCCCCGCCCGGATCTCCAGGAGGGGCCGGCCTCGGGACCACACACCCTCCTCTGGGCACGGGAAGGAGCGGGACATGGTTAAGGTGGGGGCGGAGGGAGGGGTTAGCTGCAGAGGGGCCGGGGCGTCTGCAGCCCAGAGTCCCCTTCTCTGCAGCCCCACGCCGGCTGCTGTCTGGGGCTCCCAGCCATCCGGCTGTGACTGGTCAGTGCCACCTCCAGGGGGTGTGGACAGTGAACGCACCACAAGAAGAACAGGAAAGGCACGTGCGATCCAGCACAGCAGGTCTCCACCCCTCGGGCTTGACCAAATGGGCCCCGGAAGCCATCGATTGCCGTCCCCACAGCCGGGCATCAGTGGTGTGGCCTGTGTCTGGGCGCCGAGCTGACACAGCCTTTGTGACGAGGCCGAACATGCGGGCCGTGAATGTCTGCCGTTGACCAAGGGGGGTCCGAGCAGTGGCACCGCCCGTACTCAGCCCACGCGGTAGATGAAACGGGTCAATGGCCTGCCAGGACCCAGAGCCACCCCCTCGCTCCGCTCTCCGAGTCCGGCATGAGGGCTGTGACTGGCCTTCCGGGCTGGGTGTCTCCTGCTAGGGGCCGAGGCCCGGAGGCTGTGCGAGCAGAGGCATCCGTCCGCCCTGTCTCGCCGCTGCCCCCTCAAGTGTCCTGCCTGGAGCTCTCGCTCACATGGCCTTCGAGAGGGGTGTGCTGGCCTTGCTGGGCCCCTCCGGCCACAGGTGACAGTGCCAGGACTGTAGACTCTGTGTCTCGCACCTGCTCATCTCGTCGCCCCCTGGGTCCTGGCCACTGGCCTGCGGCCCACCTCTGGAGGGCTTCTCCCCTTGGCCACCAGTCAGGGGCCGCGCCCCGACCTCTGTCCTCTGTACCCACCCATCCAAGGTCAAAGGGAAGTGCACCACTGACCACATCTCAGCTGCTGGCCCCTGGCTCAAGTTCCGTGGCCACCTGGACAACATCTCCAACAACCTGCTCATCGGTGCCATCAACATCGAAAACGGCAAAGCCAACTCCGTGCGCAATGCCATCACCCAGGAGTTCGGTCCTGTCCCAGACACTGCCCGCTACTACAAGGTGGGTCGGACTCAACAGGGACGGGGTGGGGTCCTCTGGCACCTCCTGGTGGCCGGGTGGGGCAGAGCGGGCGGCCCAGGGAAGGGGTGCTCGCCATCCGGGAGCCCGCACCCGCTGCTCCGGGCTCTGCGCCCGCCCTGGGGCCCTCGCACCCTCCCTTGCCCACGACAGACGGGGCCCGTGCCTCATGACCTCTCTGCGCTCAGGGCCTAGTGTGGACCTGGTTCACCTGTCCTTGGGGAGGTGACAAAGGGACTGCGTAGCCCCTTGTCCTGTGGACCTCAGGAAGCCCAGGGGCACAGGCCCTCCTCCCTCACACCTCTCCACTCCCACGCCCGACAGAAACACGGCATCCAGTGGGTGGTGATTGGAGACGAGAACTACGGCGAGGGCTCGAGCCGGGAGCATGCCGCCCTGGAGCCCCGCCACCTGGGGGGCCGGGCCATCATCACCAAGAGCTTCGCCAGGATCCACGGTGAGCGGGAGCCCCCGCCCCGCCCCATGCGCTCCCCTCATTGGCAGCCCAAGGAAGGTCGCCCCGCTGCCGGTGGCTGAGTCGGGTCGGGGCCACGCGCCTGGTCTCCAGGCCTCGCCCGCAGCTTCCGGCCTCTGGCGAGCACCGATCTGACCTTCCTTCCAAACTTGTGCACCTCAACAGTGCAGATCTAGGGCTCACGGTCAAAGGGGTTTTTCTGCTGGTGAATGTCTGTCAGGAAGGCTTCAGAGACACGAGCACCCCCGCCTGCTGGTGTGGGGCCCCAGCCCCAGGTCTGTGGGGGGGTGGGGGTAGGACGAGGGTGTGTCCAGAGCCCCGACCGAGCCTAGGAGAGGAAGCCCCCCAGCGGGTGAGGTTCTGCACGGAGGGGCGGCGGGGCCCTGCCCGCCACCGCCTGAGTGTGCCCCTGCCTTGCAGAAACCAACCTGAAGAAGCAAGGCCTGCTGCCCCTCACCTTCGCCGACCCCGCCGACTACAACAAGATCCACCCCGTGGACAAGCTGACCATCCAAGGCCTGAAGGACTTTGCCCCTGGCAAGGTCAGGGGGCCGGGGAGGGAGAGCGGGCTGGCCATGCCGTCTCCCCAGGGGCCCTCCTGGGAGGGGGGGGTACAGGGGGCAGCCACCTTGCTCCCCCTTCTGCACCTGGCCCCCCCTGCACTCTTCCCACGAGCCTTTGTTTCAGCTGCAAGGGCCCTTAAAACTCCCCGGGCAGCCCCCAGAAAGGGAGGGAGGTGCCTTCCCAGTGGTGAGGGTGGAGCCAGCCCAGCAGGACGCACGTGGCCTCAGGAGTTAGGCTATTCCGGTCTTGCCGCTGCCACCTGGGCCCAGACCCAGCTCAGAACTTCCTTCACCTGCCGGCCCCCGAGGCCCCAGAGCGGCGCCCTGCCTCCTGGCCCTCCAGCAGAACCCGGGGCCGTGTCCCAAAGGGCCGCTCCACCCACACCTGCTTCCTGTCCCGCAGCCCCTGAAATGCATCATCAAGCACCCCAACGGGACCCAGGAGACCATCCTCCTGAACCACACCTTCAACGAGACCCAGATCGAGTGGTTCCGCGCCGGCAGCGCGCTCAACAGAATGAAGGAGCTGCAGCAGCAGTGAGGGCCCGCCGGGCCGCCCTGCTCCTCGGACTCAGCTCTGGTGGCACGGGCACGCCTCCGCGTGTCATCAGGACCGCGCCCAGTCCCGTCTGGCCGCGGCCTCCTGCACGAGGACGGCGTGGCCAGGCCTCCCGCCCTCCGCTCCCTCAGCCCGCGGAGTGACCGTGGTTGCAGGGTGGCTAATCTGCCTTCCTCTTCTCAGCTGGTTCAGACTGGTTCAGATCGTGAACCAACTCTATTTATTTTTGATGACAAGACTTCCACCTAGAGTTTTTCTCCTGTCTGATCATTTCACTGGTGGCTGGAGGATTTTAAAGAACGTTTTGGTCTTGCAAGAAAAATAAGAATCCACATTCAGTGACGGCTCCCGTGTGTGAGTGGTGGCGGCATCGTCAACTCCGGGGTTTGCGGGGGTCTTGTCACAGGGACTGGTGGAGGCCCTCGATAACCACGGCGCAGCTGCACCCCACGCTGCCGTGGGGACGTGAGCTGGCAGGCTCCCGCCTCTCGGCCCCTCTCCCTGCCCTGCCCCACGTCCATCGCAGGGCAGCCTCCCCTCCCTCCGCCCCAGGGGGCCCTGGGCCCAGGTGGAACGCCCCAGGGGAACTCCTCCCTCCCCGTGCAGCTAAAACCAGGCCCCGGTGCTGCTCTGCCAGAACTCCTGTACCGCCGCCCCCCTTCCCCCGGGCAGCCGGTCCGCCAGACTCCAGTGGGGCAGCCCAGACCCTCCACCCAGGCCACCCTGTCCAAGGTCACAGCTGGCCCACGGTGCACACTGCTCCCTGGCACTGCCCACACCCCCATGCTCCCGTGCCCAGTGTGGGCCAAAAAGGCCAGAACAGGGCCCCTTCACCAGGACGAGACTTAACCACAAACCCGTGTCCTGGCCCCGGCAGAACTGGGGCAGGGCGAGAGGAGCCCGGCAGAGCCGTTCTGGTGAGTGGACGCCGGGTGCTTGCACCCATGTCAGGCTCTGGGGGCCCGTGGCAGACCCACGGGGTGTTCCCGATGTGGCTGTGGTCTGAGGGGGACAGCTGTCCCCAGGCTTCCTGCTCTACTGACGGGGGGACATAGCTGGTCACTTGCCCTTAGCGGGGGCCAGCAGAGCCCACAGCGTCCGCCGCCCACAAGCTGGCGGGAAGGAAGGTGCCTGTTCTTTACCCTCAGGCTCTTCCGTGGCCCCGGCAGCCACCCAGGGCCAGCCTTCTGCTCCCTGTGTCACCCCAGGGAGCCACCAGGCTCAACAGCCCAAAGCCTGGCCGGAGGCGGCCTGGATCTCGCAGCCCCCACGTTCTGCTGTGGCGGGGGAGCCATCTCCACAAGTGACGTGAAGAGAGGAAGGGCATGCTGCCCCCGCTGTGGCACCTCAACGACAGGTCCTGACGACAGCCAGGGAGACCGGTGGCTCTTCAACGGGGGTTGCCATTGTTTATTAAATGTCTTTGCTGTCACCGAGAGCAGGCCTTCCGGGAAGAGGACTCCGGCCTGGGCGGCAGGGGAGGGGACGGGCTGGCAGGGCACTCGCGGCCCCGCCCCGCAGGTCCTCGCTGCACTCTCAGTTCCTCGGCGTCTGTGCGCTGCCGCGGGGTTCGGGCCCCTCCCGAGGGCTGGGGTCTGCGGACGCAGGCCGGTCCGCAGCTGGGCCCAGGGCTAGCTGCTAGTCCACCAGGAGAGGAGGCCCAGGCCCGGCTCACTGATGGATCCCTGCCGGAGGGGGCGGCGGGGGGGAGAACAGGTGCATGTCACCCACCTTCAGGGCTGTGCCACCTGCGACGGGGGGCGGAGGGGCCCTTTGTTCGGGCACCAGGCGGGCCCAGCGCTGGCAAGGGGCGCGTGTGGGCGCACAGCCAGACCCCCTCTCCCGCCCCAGCTTCTCCTGAGGCCTCTAAGGGGAGTGCTAGTTTCCTGAGGACACGGCCCTGGCCTCAAGGCCTGGGGGTCAGGTCCCCTCTCTTGTCCCCAGGCCTGTCCAAACCCGGGCACTGCAGGCCCGCCATGAGCATGCCCTCCCGAGCCCCCCGTGGTCTTCCTGCCAGAAAGGCCCTGCTGCTGCCAAATACGCAGAGAGGGGATGCCCTGGGCCACCTGGACCCCTGGCAGAGTCAGCTGCCCCCAAAGGAATAACCCAGGGCCCACACGGCACCGGGAGCCCTACGAGGAGGCCCCTGAACCCCCACTTTTGCCATGTGTGTCTGCCTGAGTTCACGAAAATAAGAGGCAAATCAAACCCAAGTCAGATCTGGCTGGGCAGCAGCCCTGAGGCTCACCCCTCCGCAGCCTCATGCGTCCTCTCGGGGCTTTGACTCCTGACCACTTGATCACCTCACCTGGAGGCGTCCTGCCCCAGCCCCCCGAGACCACGGCTGCCCAGGGTGCAGCGACTGCCCAAGACCACACAGGGACGCGCACCCTGCCCTGCTGGGAGAGGGTTCCAGCGCCGGGACCCAGGTCGCCGCACCGGGAAGCGGCTCCCCCACCACTCCGCCGCGGGACTCTGCCGCCCCACGGCCCCCGGGGTCTAGCAGCACCTCGGGACGTCTCACCACAAGCATGTACGGGGCCTCCTTCTTGGGCAGCTCCTCGCTGGCAGAGGCGGCCTCGGCGGAGCTGGGCCCCGTGGGGGACGTGTCCACAAAGCTCTCGTCCACCACGCGGAAGCGGATCTCCTCCCCGATGTCCATGTACAGGTCGTGCGCGCCTTCCTCCGTCTCGTACTCCCACACCCACATCTGCTCCGCCTCGTCGCTGCGTGGGCCCAGGTCAAGGCAACTCTCAAGCCGTGGGGGAGCTCCTGAGGGTTGGGGCCTCCTCCCCCAGCACCCAGCCCCCCCCCCTTTGGCTGGGAGTCCCAGGGAAAGCAGGCCCACGAGCCAGGGCAAGGCGGGGCCGGGGGCAGGTCCCCCAGAAAGGAGCGAGAGCTGCTGGGGGCCGGCATCCAGCTGGGGAACACGGCCCCCGCCCAGCACCCCCCCAGGCCATAAAAGCCGGACGGAGGCTCAAGAGCGGCGTTCAAGATGGGAATGACCACGGCCTGCTGCTGCCCGGGGTCCCCTCGCTGCCCGGTCTGAATCCGCCTGTGGGTCCTCTCAGAGGCCAAATACAGCATCAGCTCCGCCACCTGCCAGCTATGACCTGGGGTCAGGCCCGACCTCAGGTCTGGGCCTGAGGGTCCCCGCGAATAAAACAGGGACTGTGTGGCAAGGTGCCCCTTGCAAGGGCGTGGTGAGGAGGAAAACGCGGAAAGGGCTTCCGGTCGGCCCTCCCCTGTTAGCGAACGCTGGCCTGCTTCCGTGCCCGGTGTGGCTCCACACCCCTCGCCACCCACGCCTCCTGACACTGACCGGGCAGCGCAAGGACTTCCCTCGCGTTCAAGGGGCTGGCGGTGGGACGGAAGGTCACGTGCCTGAGGGCCCACAGCTGGCGAGAGGACCGACAGGGCTGGGCCAGGGTTTCTGACAAATTCTAGACTCACGGAGGCCTTGGCCTTGGCCCTGCGCAGGCCCAGCCAGGGCCGTGTGCCTGGCGGAAGGGCAGGGTAGCCCCTGGTCGCCCTGCAGAGCCCTCACTGAGGAGCCACGCTGCCCTCTAGTGGCAGCCCCGGGTCCTGCGGTGGGCACAGTGTGTACAGTCCCCACAGAACCGGGTCCCTCCCAAGGAGCAGCCTCAGTGAGGATGTGCAAAAACAGACAACCCCAGTGCAGCAAGCGAGCGGCTGGGGCAGGGACAATGGGGAAGACCAGCAGAGGGCGCCAACCCCACCCAGGACCCTCACAGCCAACCCCTCAGATGCTTGATGCTACTTCCACGTGCAGCCCAGCAGGGAGGGGAGAGGAGGGGAGGGGAGGGGAGGGGAGCCAGTCAGGGCACAGCTCCCCAGGGAAGTCACCTTGGGACGACTCCTGCAGGGACCACCGAAGCAAAGGGGGCAGGGGCGAACAGCTCCCTGCCTGCAGCGCACACCCTACACACTGCCAGGCCCCGCAGCCCAGACAGGGGACCGGCACGTGGGCACCCCGGGCAGCGTGGGGAGCCCAGGCAGGGTGGGCACAGAGGCCAGCAGCGTCAGACCACAGGAGGACCCAGGGCCGCCCCCGGGGGGTGAGGACCAGCCTCCAGAGCGCCCAGAGCCCCCCTGCGCCCCATGCTGACCTCGGGAGGATACAACTTGGCGGGCTGCTGCAGCGACTCTGGGGGGATGAGAATGTCATCGAAGAACCCTAGAGAGACTGAAGAGAGTGACAGCGTGGGACCGGGGCTCACGGTGGACGGTGCCACATTGAGGGTCTGGATACTCGAGAGGAAAGCCCCTTGGCACGTGCTGCCCGGGGGGCAGACGTCACCAGAGAAACCTGGGCCCCGCCCCGCCCTCGGAGTCCCACACGGGCCTCTGCCTCTGCCACCCCCACACCCCGAGCGGCCATCCCAAACCTCAGGTGGACACCGCACACAGCATGGACCGGTGTGTGCCGAGGCCCGAGTCGTCACCCTGAGCAGCTCCAGGGCCCACCCTGACGCTCGGCCTCGTGGGGAAGCCTCGCAGCCCACCGAGGTCCTCACTGTGACAGGAACACGAGAGGGGCTGCGCGTTCTCGCCGACCAGCTCTTCTGACACCGTGGCGACGTTCTGCTTCTGCACCTGACTGCTCCCCCGACCCCGTGGCCGAGCACAGGAGCTGAAGGGAGGCCGGCTGGCCTGGGCTCAGCCCTAGCCACTGGTCCCACCGTGCTCCCGGGTCCCGTCTGGGGAGCAGGGGCCGCCATTACCGTGCACTCCCTCGGGGCTGCAGCCTTTGATCTTCCCAATCAGAATCTCGTCCAGGAACGGGTGGAACACCACGTAGCGAAAATGGACTGCAAACGAAGGAAGCGAGCGCATCCGTGATGAGCAAGCACGTGAGGAACAGGTGCTTCCACCAGGGCGGCGCTCGCTCGCCAGCACACCGACCCAGAGGGGCCGCGGCTGCTCCAGGAGCCCGGCCGGCGCTCCCCGTGGAGCCCCCTCTGTGGGCCCAGACACAGCAGCGGGGCCAGAGGGAACTTCACACTGCCGTTCCCTGCCAGGCCCCAGCTTGGCCCTCGTGGGAGGCCAGCAGCAACGCCCTGGAACGGGGGGGGGGGGGGGCTGGCTCCCGCATCCATCAGGGGAGTCGCACCTGAGTTCGTATTCTGGGCCATCAACGGCCCCCACGTCGCTCCCAGTCCTCCTCCAGGCTCCCTCCTTTAAATTCTACAGAGGGCGGCAGGGCCTGGCAAAGGCCCCCACTGGCCAGTGCAGTTTGCCCCAAGCACAGCTCTGACCTGGAATGCAATGCTGAAACTGCCCTGACATTAAGGGGGACAGAGCCGATCACCTAGCGAAAATGCTTCTGTGGCCTTGGTGTGGCTCAGTGGTTTGAGCGCTGGCCTGCGAACCAAAGGGTTGCTGGTTTGATTCCCAGGCAGGGCACCACCTGTCTGGGTTTCGGGCCAGGTCAGGCCCCGTGGAGGGGGCACAGGAGAGACAACCACACACTGATGTTTCTCCCCCTGTCTCCTTCCCTTCCTCCCCTCTAAAAGAAAAATCAATAACAATATTTTTTTTAAAAATGCTTCTGTGGGTTCTCTGGCCTTGCCCTAGATGGCCCCCATTTGCTGGGCTTCATGGAAACTATCAGGTGAGGTCTCTGCCCACGTCACAGACTCTGACCCCAGGGTCTGGCAGCATCATCACCTTGTCCCTCCTGCCCCTTGCTTAAAGCGCTGAGCGTGGGCAGGGAGGCCCACCACTGGCAGGAGTACTGCCAGGGCTGGAGAGTGACTATCCCGGTCTGACCGTGTCAGCGGTCACGCCACCGCGGCACAGAGAGACTGGGTCACCTGCTCACGGTCACACTGCGAGCTGCTCGGCCCTGTCCTGCCACGGGGAGACGCCGGGACCGCCAGACAGGGCCATGGGGCCGACTCTGCCCTCCTCAGGCAGGCTCACTCCCCTCACAGGCTCTTGCCACCGGCACCCTCAGCCGCCTGGTCTGCCAAGGGGCAGCGGGCCCACGTGGCCCCCAGCACCCTGCCGGGCTGCCTCCTCGTGACTCCACCGGGCAGGGAGCCGAGAGGAGAGGAGAGCCGTCTCAGCCATCACGAAGACGGCAGGGCCTTGTCTGGCCACAAGGAGAGCAAGCAGACAAGGAGGGCAGCCAAGGGTCACCACCCACAGGACGGGAAGTTCCCGTCCACCACATGACACGACACCAGCTCAGTGTAAGGCACCCCCGCAGAGCCTCTACCGAGTCTCCAAGGCTGCGCCAGGCGGGCTTCGGCCCTGGATTCCGGGGAGGGGCAGGACAGTGGGGCGCGGTGCCCGGGGCGCACCTGTCCGGAGCACCCACAGCGCACCCAGAAGCACAGGGCGAGCCCGGGACAGCGCTCCGCCTCCGGGCACGCAAGTGCTGGCGAGCGCTGCCACGTGGAGGACACCACACTGCGTGACGGACACCACTCACAAAGGCCACTGAGCGTGTGGTCCTGCCTCTGGGAGGGGCCCGGGGCGGGCAGACCCAGGGCAGAAGGAGACGAGTGGCGCCAGGGGCTGAGCGAACCAAGTGAACACGGGGTTTCTCCTGGGGCGATGAGAGTGTCCTGGAATTGGCGGTGATGGTCGCACAGCTCCGTGGATCCACGAAAAGTCACTGGAAGGGTGAACTTTAAAAGTTCACTTTAAAAGGGTGAACCTTACGGTACATGAGCTGAACTGCACCCCAGTTCAAACACAACAGAAGGCCACAGGCCAGCTGGAGGGCCCGCGAGGATGGGGCCGGGCCGGGCCGTGGGATGCGCAGTGGGCTCCACCCCCAGACACTGCGATTCCAATTCCGCGGGCCTGGAGCAGACACAGCAGGTCTCCTGCCCAGACTCCGACGAGCCCTGAACCACCTAAATGGCCCCCTTGCCCCCTGCTTCTGATTCGGCTGGGTCCAGGCAGGAGAGTGAAGAACGGCGCACTCCCTCCGGGAGAGCTCTTCACAAAGGGGATCCTTCCTCTGCATCTCCCTCCCACCCCTAGGGCACACCCCTCGGCAGTGGGACAGCGTGGAGAGGTGGAGCCTACTTCTCCATCCCCGGAAGCTGCCTGCAGCCACGTGACCTGCTTTGGCCAATGGGATAAGAGCAGGGGCTCTCAGCCAACTCCAGCCTACTGAAAGGTGAGACCACATGTAACAGAGATACCAATGTTCCCTGGTAAGGTCAGTGTTTCTCTCCCTCTCTTTTTCCCTCCTTTCCCCTCTCTCTAAGAATAAATAAAGGCCCTGGCTGGCGTAGCTCAGTGGATGGAGTGCGGGCTGCGAACCAAAGCATCGCAGGTTCGATTCCCAGTCAGGGCACATGCCTGAGTTGCAGGCCATGGCCCCCAGCAACAGCACATTGATGTTTCTCTCTTCTCTCTCTCTCTCTCTCTCTCTCTCTCCCTTCCCTCTCTAAAAATAAATAAATAAAATCTTTAAAAAAGATTTATTTAAAAAAAGAATAAATAAATAAAATCTTCACCCACAGATTTGGGGCAAAAAGTTCACTATGCACCCAAGTCCTGTCCTAAGAGCCCTCCATGCATTAACACGGTAATCCTCACAACAGTCCTGTAACAGCAAAACTACTGTTAAATGCATTTTACAGGCGAGGAAACGAAGCTCGGACACACACAGTGAAGAAGTGGCAGAGCTGGGATTTGAACCCAGAGGCCACACTGTGAGCCATTACGTCCTACTGCCCTCGAAATCCCTCACCCCCAACCAGCCTTCCTCGGGAGGGGCGGCTGCGCTCCCCTCCGCTCTCCACACCTCTGACCTCTCCACGTGGCTTAAGCTGCCTCACCCGCTCCCTCCCTCCCTCCGCCCTGCCACTGCCCCACACCGAACAGCCTGAGGGCCAGGCACGGAGCAGGGCTCAGGAGCAGGCAACACCCAGGGGGCATGGACACAGAGCCGCAATCTCAGGGCTGGAGAGGATGTGTCCACCTCCCATTTCTTTCTTTAAAAAAATTTTTACTTATTGATTTGAGAGAGAGGAAGGAGGGAAAGAGAGAGAGAGAGAGAAAGTGATTTGTTGTTCCACTTATTTATCAGTTCACTGGTTGATTCTTGTATGTGCCCTGACTGGGGACTGAACCCGCAACCTTGGCCTCTTGGGATCACGTGCTAACCAGCTGAGCTACCAGGCCAGGGCCCCCTCCCATCTCGTATATGGGGGGAAACTACGGCCCAGAGAGAAGATCCTGCCCTCCGTCACCCAGTCAGTCCCCGGCCAAGTCGGGACCAGGCCCCGGGTCTCCCAGCCCCCGTAACAGGACTCTCACCACTGGAAACTGAGCCTCAGGAGTCCGATGCCCCAGGGGGAGAGGCACCCACCTTTGGTGTGCGACGCGCCGTCCCCGGGAAACACGTAGGAGTCCTCCAGCTTGGTGATGTCGAACAGACAGATGCAGAGTCCCACGCTGTACACGACCTGTGTGCGTCAGTGCGCATACACACGGTGACCCCGGGGCCCAGCCCCAGGCGGTCTCTCTGGAGACCCACCCCCTCAGGGCAGGGGTGATCACCCCACTTCACGGCAGGAAATGAGTTGGGGGCACTGACTAAAACCAGCCAATCTCCCTCTGGCAGGCCCCACCCCACCCATCGCCTCCTGCTGTTCTAAGGATGCAGTCCCACACCTCAGGAAGCCCTACACCCTGGGTGGCCCGGCCCCTGCCACCTTTTCGGCCTGCCAGGCCATCCCAGCCTCCTCCAGGCCATGAAGGTGCAATATTCTCCCCGAAGGCCCCAGGGCCTTTGCACATGCTGTGTCCTCCGCCTGCATGGCCCAGCCCCTCCCACCACAAAAGACTAGTACCCTGGCTAGCTCCTCCAGGCCCTCACAAAGCAGCCTGTCTCCTTCACTGTGGGTGAAGCTCCTTTCTTCCGCAGGCATGTGAACACCTGTCCTTCAAAGCCTCCACCTCAACTTGTCGTCACACTCAACCGTGGGAGCCTCTCGTTCACATCCGCTGTCCCCGCCACACTCTACGGAGAAAGCTTATGTGTCCCTCATTCAATCGGCAGACCATTATGGGACATCTACTCTGTGCCTGGCTTTGCCTAATATGGGCAAGGTCCCTGCCCTCATGGAGAAGGAAAGAAAAAAAACACCCAGCAACCCAGGAAACCAATAAGAAATCAGCGAATGGTAAGTGAAGTGCTGGGAAGGAAAGAGTGACAGGACACAGACTGACGGAGGAGGGAGGGTCACTACAGGAAAGGCGGTGGGAGACCTCTGGCGAGCTGGCACCAGGCACACAGGCATGGCACTCAGAAGGCGCACACGCATTTCTCCTGCAGGAATGAATGGGTAAGCCTCCTGCCCGGCCGTCTTCACAAAGACAATGCCTGGGTGGACAGCAGTGATTGTTTTCTACTTTACAAATGGGAACTGTGGCTCAGAATCGGTAAATGCTCACCTAAGGCTGCAAAGTAATTTGGAAGTGTGGAATCTGGCCCTGCACAGTCACAAGGGCTCTTCTCAAACCCTGTTTCCCTTTGACTCCCTCCAGCATCCTCGTGGGATGAGGGTTACCACGTACAGGTGAGGAAGCCGAGTTCTGAGATAAGCTGCATGGCCAAGCCAGGCCTGCACCATGCGGGTGGGCAGTGCTGGGCCCTCCCGTGCCAAGGCTTTCCCGCGACCCCCTGGGCCCATGCGGTACCTTGTTGGCCAACTTCTTATTCAGCTCCTCGGCAATGGAGTCGTTGAGCTTCCGCTCAAACTGCCACGGGGGTATCCGCACAGTGTCCACCATCTCCACCAAGACGAACATCCTGTCCTGCGCTGGGGGCTCTGGGAACGGGAGGGTCAGTCAGGCACCGGGGACTGGAGCTGTGAGGACCTCCGGGCTCCCCTCGTCCCCTCCCAATAGCTGAGATAATCTTCTGGTCGGCAGTGTGGCTGCGCAGTAGGGCCTGATATGCCCCGTGCGGGACATGTTCCGCTACTGCGAAGGGAGGAAACTGAGGCTCAGCGCGAGAGTCTCTCAGTCCAGCGTGAAATGAGCACGCCCGCGCCGCGCGGACCAGCCCGCCCACCCTACACCACTCACAGCCGCCACGCACCGCGCACCCCCACGCATCCGACAGTCTCACGACTCTAGGCGAGATTCTGAATCCTATCGCTTCCGGAGAATTGACCAATAAGAAGACTGTGCCCGCCCCACTTCGCGAGGCGACGCTGCCTACTGGTTCCTTTGCGGAACGGGTAAGGCGGGGCCTGGATGGGGCGGGGCGGGGCCTGAATGGCCCTCCCCAAGGGCGGAGCTCTCAACCCTCGGACAACGCTTTCTGGTTGCTAGGCGACCTCGCCTCGGACGTGCTGTCCTTGCTGCTTTCAGGCTGCCCTCGGCGCCCGCCTCAGCCAGAGTGATCCCTTCAAAACGCAGACACAGTAGTGCACTTAGACCCTTCAGTATTTCGGACCCGGGAGAACTGACTGGAAAGGGACAGGCAGGACCTTTCTGGGGTGATAGAAATGTCGCAGATGTATACAATTCTCAAAACTCACGGAACTCAACACTTAGGATCTTTGCATTTATAATAGAGTACATCTCAGTTAAAAAGTGGTAGTAAGTTGTGACAAATAAACCACCTCAGTAGCTTCCCAGTGGACTAATAAAGTCCAAAACTTTAAAAAATGTATTTTATTTATTTTTTATTTAAGAGAGGGGAAGGGAGGGAGAAAGAGAGGGAGAGAAACATAAATGTGTGGTTGCCTCTCACGCGCCCCCTACTGGGGACCTGGCCTGCAACCCAGGCATGTGCCCTGACTGAGAATTGAACTTGGGATCCTTTGGTTCTCAGGCCGGCATCCAATTCACTGAGCCGCACCAGCCAGGGCATAAAGTCCAAAACTTTTCTGGTAGCTCACAAGGCCCTGCAGGATCTTGCCCCAATACCACACCTCCACATTCTCTGCCCTCCCTCACCCCCACCCCGTTCTCATCTCATTCACCTTGATATGATAGCTAATGTGGGCTTGGGCTAAGAGAATTCGGTAACTTGTCCAAGATCAGGGGCTGCTAAGTCTAAGTCTATACTACTAAAAGTTGGTGGGTTGTGAAAATATATTGAAGTGTGTTTTAGCAATAATTTGAGAACTTAAAAAGAGCCTTGGGGTAGGTGACAGAGGACTCAAAAGTGGATGATGCTTTAATTTGCTGATTTTACACATACAGAGATCCTTCTATGAGACTGGCTGCAGTGGTACTGAATTTGACCTTCCTTGCATTCATATTTTTATTTATAGGTCTGTCCGCCTATCCTGGGATTTGAGCTACTTGAAGACAGGGGAAAATGCTACTTCTGCTCTTTATTCCCTTAATCCCCTCACATCTTTCCTAGGAGGCATTCAGTAAAAGTGCTCAGGAAATTATATTCTTTCTCTCAAATCTTCCTTCTTCATTCTATTCCCGCAGCTACTGCCCTGGTTCAGACCTCTTCCTTGTTCCCCTGGAGCTTAGCCACTTACCCAGCTCCGGGCCTCCATCTCTCCTGCAACTGCCACTGTTACAAAAGCCTTCCCCTGTGAATATCCTGTGCCCACACAGAAAAGTCTGGATTGGGCTCAGCCCTCCTCTCCAACCTCATCTTCCTTCTGTTCTCCCGGCACTGGGAGCCTCCAGCCCCCAGGGTGGAACAAGCCCTTTCATAGCCCTACCTCCGTCCCTTCTTTACCTGGAAAACTGCTATTCATATCCATTAGAATGCAATACAGTGCCTTTCTCATTCATTCATTTTTGTTTTTCAACATGCCGTGTGTCTAGCTGTTGGAGATATGATGGAATAGAACTAGGACCCTGGATTCAACTCAGAGGGGCTGCAGACAGGACAGAGTGGGAGGGAATGTGATGCTTTCAGAAAATCAAAAGCGTTTCCGCAGGTCCATAGAGGAGATGAGAACTGGTGAGGTTGTAGACCTAGATGTGACCCAGAGCACAGGGCCTGTTATAATATTCACGACCTTTTCTGATTTTGAGAGCATGTTTCTTTAAGCTGGGGACAGGGAAACAGGGAAGGGCTTAGGATAGAAGGAGCAACAGGAGAGAGCCCGGGTGGGGCTTCTTCGGCTCTAGAAACATTACAGGAAAGAAGTGAGCTTAGGCAGGGCTGCTCTGGCTCCCTGGGAAGTCAGAGGAAAGGGGGCCTCGGAGTCCAGAACAAGCTTTTTCCACCTGTTGCTCCCTTGGTGGCAAGTCTCCTGGGGACCCTCAGCGTTCAGGGTTTGCACACCTGGGAGGGGAGTGGACCTCATTAACTTAATCCTCGTGGCAGCTTGAAAGGTAGGGGCGATTATTATCATTATCTAATGTATCTCATTAGCATTTATCATGCTTGTTTATGCCATTACAGTATCTCGAATTTTGCCTACTCAGAGAGGTTAAGCGGGTCCCTCAAGGTCTCACACCTGCTAAGTTGCAGAGCTGGGATTCGGGCCCCAGAGCCCACGGTCCTAAGCACTGGGCTCTTTCTCCCAGACATTAGTCCTAGGACAGACAGCAAAGGGAAGCTTTAGAAGGTTAGAACAAAGAAATGATGCAGTGACACATCGGCTGGATGGACAGTGGATGGGAAGGGGCCGGCGTGGAGACAAGACCAGGGAGGAATGGGTGACTCCTTTAAGAGAAGGCCCCTGGCAGGGGTCAGTAGCCCCACAGAGTAAGGTGAGGCAGAGTCCGGAGGTCTTCAGGGGATGGTCTCAGGACAGGGTGGATGACCTGAGATGGGAAGTGGGAGGGGCCAATCCCTGAAGGCTTTAGCCACTGGCTGGGCGGTGGGCCTTTCGCAGAGATGGGAAATTGGAGGAGGGCCAGGTGGTGGTGGGGAGTTGCTGGGAGGTGGCAGGGAATGGGGCCAGCGTTGCAGAGTTCAGTGTTTTGGGTTCCCAGGCTTCTTTAGCAGTGTTCAGCTCCCAGGACTGTCACAGTCATTCGTTGGCACGGCTGGTTTCCTCGTTAGTGAAAAACAGGGACCAGGCTTCTTTATTCTCTCTGTCATTCGAGGAAGACTGGGGGTGGCTTACAAAACACACACAGACTCGGCCTGCCCACTCCTGTGCGGCACAGGACTTCTCTGTCCCGTCCTTCACATCCTCTGGGCCTTGCCCTGAGCCTGGCACCTGGTCAAGGCTTGTAAATGTGTGGCATTCGCATGAACAAAAGGGTGGTCAAGTCATTGCTAAGCGTGTAGGAGCGAGGGAGAAAGCAGAGCTGGAAACTCATCCGGGAGGCGGAGGACGGCCAAGCCCGCGGCTGCGGGCGTGGCGTTCCCACCGCAGCGAGCGGCTGAGCCGCCGGGAAGCCCCTGAGCCTGCCGGCACCTCAGTGGCTCCTCTGTAAACTGGAGATAATAACAGGTCCGACCTCGAATGGCTGTCCGCCCCGGGGGCACTGGGTAAAAACACACAGTGTCTCACAGAATGGAATCATACGAAGCCGTAAACAAAGGACGAGAGTGGGCCTGACTGGCGGATTCCAGGGGGTTGGGCGTCATCCTGCAAACCAAAAGGGCGCCAGCCAGGATGTGTGAGGGACAACCGATCAATGTTTCTCTCACACCCCTCTCTCTAAAACTAAATAGACTCTTCTTTTAAAAAAAGGATGAGCCCTGGCTGGTGTGGCTCAGTGGATTGAGCGCTGGCCTGTGAACCAAAGGGTCGCCGGTTCGGTTCCCGGTCAGGGCCCTTGCCTATGTTGTGCCAGCCTGTCCTCTCAACCCAAACTGCTGGCTCAAGCTCACCAATGGCCTCCACGTTGCCATAGCCAGTGGTGATTCTCAGTCCTGATTGGCCACATTGGTCTCAGCTGATCAGTCCCTCCTCTTTCGCACACTCTTTCCACCTGGCTTCCAGGAGCCCAGGCCCCCCGGCCCCCCTCACCGCATACTCTCCTCTCAGCACCGGGAACGTGGGCAGGCAGCCTCAGCCCGCTTCTCTGGGGTCTGTACTCCTGCCTGCTGACCCCTTGGGGCCTGGCCGAGTTCAGCAGCGCCCGCGGACGGCTGGCTCCTGCGTCCATCTCCGGCCAGCCCTCTCCCGGAGCACCAGACTCACGCACCCTGCCTGCTCCAAATCCCCCTTTCTCAACTCAAACTTAACCTGGACCAGAACGGAACTGCTGGTCACCCCACCCCAAACCCGCTTCCACCACCGTCTCCCCGTCCCAGACAGCAACTGCTCCGGCTGCTCAGGCCAACCTGGGAGTCACCCTTGACTCCCCTCGGTCTCTCACGCCCCTGTGAACCTTGAGGAAATCCTGTTGCTTCTACCTCCAAGACGCATCCAGATTCCAACGCCTCCCCAACCCCTTCGTGGCTGCTCGGGGGTCCCAGCCACACTCCCCCCTGGGCCTTGGCAGCAGCCTCCCCTGGTGTCCTATCCTGTCCCCCAGTCTACGCTCAACACAGATGCCAGAGAGATGCTGTCATAACAACGCTCAGAAACTCGGAGTCCTCCCCTCCGGACCCCGCAAGGCTCCGTCTCACTCAGGGACGAGCCTTCACTGCCCTGAGGGCCCGCACCCCATTACCCCTGTGACCACGTGCCCCATTCCTCTGCCTGATGGCTCTCCTGCCTCTGCACTCGGGGCCTCTGTCTGCTGCTGTTCCCTCTCCCTGGAACATCCTTCCTCTCACCACCCTCTGGTTGTCATCCCTCACCTCCTCCAAGCCCTTGCTTTAATGTCACCGCGGTGTCACCTTTCCCTGACACACACATACCCCCTTTTTAAATTGCAGACCAACCCGGGCTCCCTTCCCCCCTTCCCTCCTTAATAGTTTTCTGTAGCGTTTATTGCCCCCTGACATAGGGCATAGGTACTTATTAGGTTGCTTTCTTGTCTCTCCCTGCTGACTGTGAGTGCCGTGAAAACAGGGGTTCCGTCTGCTTCACTCACTGTCGATTCCCCAGTGAAGGGGAAGCCCAGGACCAATATTTCTTGGATTAGACGAAAGGATGACGAGAACAGATTAGCCTGGAGATGGCCGTGGTCCTGTAAACTCGCTGGCAGTGGAAGAACCTGCCCCTGGGCTTTCCAGCAATCAAAGCAAAGAGAAAAACATGTCAATTACACATGGAAACTAACCAGGTTTCCTTGATTCTGGGCCCTGGGAGGACTCTCTCCAGGTTCGTGAGGAGTGCGGGCTTTGGGGGACGGAAGGGCGCCCTGGATGGTGTCCGGACAGGCCCCAGAACCATTCTCATTGGGGCACTTTTAAAATGACCCCTCCATGCGGGCAAAGGCGCAGCCGAAGTGCCATCGGGAACGGTGATTCTGGAAGGGACCTAAATGAAGCGTCCTGGGATGTTGCTCTCTGCTTCGTCTTGAGCCGAAAGCAAGGGCAGAAAGTCAACAGGCACTTGTTGGGGCTGCCCCTGCTCTGGGGGAGCGGGGAGGGGGGCCGACAGAAAATGGGGAACAAACAGACGCAGGAGGTCATTTCGGGCATTGCTATCAAGAAAGGTCACCCGGATAATGGGACAGCGTGGGACAGGGGCTGCCACTCTAGTCAGGGCGGTTCAGAGATAGCCTCGCTCAGAAGGTGAGGATGGGGGTGAGCCCCAGGTGTTGAGAAGGTGCAGGCACACAGCCCAGGGTGTTCAGGAGTGTGTGTGTGTGTGTGTGTGTGTGTGTACACATGTCTGATGGAGCCCCGGCTCACAGCCCATCCCAGGCCTGCACCAGCAGGAGGTCAGCCTGGCTGCTCCAGCCCCAGGTCCTCAGGACAGGACACGGGGGGGGGCAGGCCGGGGACCCCTCAGTGCTCCCTCATTCTCCTGCTCACACCCATCGTCACCCTGGACAGGACCGCCAGGCTGCCGGCGGCACTAGAGGCAGAACGGTGCCCTTTCTCCCCATCTCACTTCCGATGAGGCGCCTGCCTCGCACTAGGTCCCCCAGACCCTCCCCAGTACGGTCCCCGCTCTCCTCCCCTCCTCTTCCCAGCTGTAGCCACGCCAGGGACTTTAATTTCCTTGAATGCACAGAGTTCTTTCCTGCCGCTGGGAGTTCACGCATGCTATTCCCTCCTTAAGAAACACTTTTCCCTGCTTTTCACAAGGCTGGATCCTTGTCATCGTGGGGGTTTGGCCTATAGGATCCCTTGTCAGAGCACTCGTCTCCCAGCCCTCCATGTCGGCGGCTAGACTTGGCCCTCCTAGTCTCCTGGGTGTCAGATTCGTCATCTTCAGATTTGTGATTATACATTGATGTGCTTGTGTGCTTGGTGCCGTGTCTCTCCCTGGACGAGACAGTGTTGTAAACTCAGGGCAGGTGTCTGCCTTATTCCCTGCGGTATTTGAGCCCAGACCATCTGGTACATAGTAGGTAGTCAAACGATACTCGTTACGCGTGTAAACAAAATGAACGGATCGTGCGGTCAGAGCTGCAGAAAAAGATCTCCAGCGAAAGGGCAGTAGTGAGATCGGAGAGAGGAACCAGAGGACAGGGTGGGGACAAGTGCCCGGTGGAGGAGGTGGGCGTGCAAGGACCTGAGAAGGCGTTTCAAAGACAGCGTGGTGGAGCGAAGAATAATAGTGCAACTATTCTTTAAATGGAAGCCAGAATTCCTGAGTGTCAATCCCAGCTCCAGTACCAGCTGTGTGACGCTGGGCTGGTTTCTTAACCTCTCTGTGCCGGAGTTCCTGCGTCTGCCAAATTGGCACCAACCCCTTAGGCATGTACGTACTTTAAAAGGTTATGGGGACCGAGGCCGCGGTTGTCCCGGACTGGCCCCTGTTGGTGGGCGGGCCGTCAGCAATGGGGCGGGGATTATGATTCCGGCGGAGTGAACAGGACTCAGGTGCCGCTCAGCTCTGCCCCTGCGTCTTCAGCTCCTCCGAGATCAGGGAGGCTTTCAAGGAGACGCGCTTTTGAATCCTCAGCTTTTCACAAAAATAGCCTCAGTGGCGGAGCCCCTGGTTTGAAGCAGACGATTTCTTTGTTACTCACGGTGTGTGTGGGCGGGTGGGTTGCGCCACGGGCTGCTCATTTCCTGAATGAGCAGCTGTGCCCTCTCCGCGCTGTCGAGCACATCGTAGCGCTACTTCGACCCTCGCCCCAGCCTCCGCCGTTCGCTGTTCCGGCCGCCCCGCAGCCCTGCACGTGTTCACCAGCTGGCGGGGAGGAGCCTTGGAGAGAAAAGGCTGGACAGGCAGGGAGGGTGCAGGGAGGGTGCAGGGAGGGTGCAGGGAGGGTGCAGGGAGGGTGCAGGGAGGGTGCAGGGAGGGTGCAGGGAGGGTGCAGGGAGGGTGCAGGGAGGGCCGGGCCCCGGGCCTTTGCCCAACCCTCGGCCTCTTTCACAGCGCACCGGCCTCCTTCCTCCCGCTCAGGCCCCTGGAAGCTCATGCCCATTGTGGGCCCCCCCGACCCACCGTCCCCTTCTGACGATGTCTTCTCTCTGGATTCTGGCAACGCTGGCTCTTTCTGGTCAGCTGGGGCTCAGCTGAAACATCATTAGCTTGGAGAAGTCCTCCCTGGCCACGCCCCTCTGCTGGCCTCTGTGTGTTTGTAATCCACCGCTGGTCCACAGACAGCTCAAGGCCAATGCCGCATAGACTCAGGAGCCTCCGGGATGAGCCAGCCGCAGGGAGATCCCAGACCAAGTCCCGGCACCGGGTCTCACTGGCCGAGCCTGGGCCAGGGGTCCTGTGGCCCGAGAGAGGAGAGGGGCGTCCCCAGAAGAGGGGACAGTGGGCGGTGGGCGGTGAGAATCACCAGGGGTCCACCGCGGCCCAGGTCTGGAGCCCGGGGCTCAGGCTGCTGCTCTGTCCCCGTCCCCTCTGAGCTCGGGGACCCCGTGGAGCCCCGCCACCCCTCCCGGCCTGTTCCCTCACCCAGGCAAACCTCACGGACTTGTTATGAGAAGCAGATGAACCCCGGCTGGAGTAGCTCCTCAGTGAATTGAGCGAGGGCTGCAAACCACAGCATCGCAGGTTCGATTCCCAGTCAGGGCACATGCCTGGGTTGCAGGCCACGGTCCCCAGCAACCTCACATTGATGTTTCTCTCTCTCTCTCTTTCTCCCTCCCTTCCCTCTCTGAAAATAAATAAATAAATAAAATCTTTTAAAAAAGCATTTAATCTTTTTAAAAAAAAGAAGCAGATGAGACAATGGAAACTTACTATCTTTGGAAGAGAGGACGGCAAAGAAGGAAACAAATTAAAAGTGGGCAGATTCCTGGGGGCGGGTCCTCCGACGGGGGCGGGGGTGGGGGGGCGAGGAGTCAGCGCTCTGGGCCTGGGCAGCGCCGGTGGCGGCGAGCATCTGGTCTCTCCCCCTGGGTCAGGAGTGCAGACGGTGCGAGCCAGCTCTGGGAGGCTCTGGCACCGCGGGGCACGTGGGAGCGCCGGGTGCCCTGGGTTCAGACGCCCCTCACGCCGGGCGGTGAACACAGCAGCCCCCCCCCCCCCCCGTCGGAGCCTGTCCCCGCGCCGGCACACAGGGGCGGCTGCAGCGGAGCATGGGCTGCCGTGAGCTCGGAAACCGGGGCAAAGCAGGTGGCCCGACAAGTGGGACGACCTCGGTGCTCCTTACCAGCTATTTTTATCCACCTTTGGTGTTTTTGATGATTGTTTCCCTGCTAAATCCCCCCCTTTTTATTTTTATTTTTATTTTAGTGAGACTTGTTTTGACAGTGCCAGCCTGTCTCAGTAGTACTGAGGGTGTATGAGGGAAAGCCTTCCTCCTTTCCACTCTGAGGCTGAGGAGAGGGGGCTGGATGAAGGAGGAGAAACTCCTTTGTCGATGCCTCCTCCAAACGGCCCCAGCCTAATGGCTAGTGCACTTGAACCCCCAACAGTCCTCTCCTCCCTCCCCTACAGAGGGCGCTGTGGAGGATCAGAGTCACAAGAGACTTGCCCAAGGTCACACAGCCTTAACGTGCTGGGCTGAGAGTCACACCCGGGGCTTATCTGCTGCGGACACCCAGAACTCTCCGGGAGGGGTGGACGCAGCCTCCCCCGCTGTGTGTGGGGCCAGCCTGTCACTCCCTTAGGGTCCTCCTCAATTCAAAACAAGTATCTCAAGGGCCTCCCGAGAAAGCGGTGAGTTCTTGTGACTGGCCGACGTGCATTCCCTCACACGGATCTCAGAGCCAAGTGAGGGGCAGACGGAGCTCAGTTTTGGTGCTAATGGAAGGCAGGGGCCACGCGGAAGGCCCAGAGGGCAGAGGGAAGTAGGAGAGTCCCTGGGGACCCAGCTGTCCCCGTCCCCACCCTGGTCTGGAGCACCCTCTGGGGGGCCCGTTCTGCGGTGGCCTCCACCCTCCCAGACTCAGCCCCGCCCCACAGCCCCCCATCATGCACGCTCACAGGTATACTCACGCTCACGCTTGCTTGAGCTCACGCTTGCTCAAGCTCACGCTTGCTCGCTCGCCACCCCGCTTACTCTCTAATTGGCAGGAATGCGAGCTGCCCCCAGCTCTTCCTCCCCTGCATTCCTCAGCAGTGCCTCCCACCTGGCAGGGCAAATTATACCCTGGCCCGGCAATAAAAGCCACTTTCCAAAAAAAGAAGCTTTGGGGCCCCAAGAGAGACGCAGCTAACTCTCTCCCCCAGCCTGTGCCTGGCTCGGGAGGTGGCGTCTGCGCCCCGTGTGCCTTTAAGCAGGGAGTACAAATTCCCATCCCGGCCCCTCCCTCCTGCTCTTTCTGACGTCAGGAGGAAGGCGTGTGTGAGTGAGTGAGGGGCTGAGGTGCCGCATGCTCTCACACACACACACACACACACACACAGGCACGCGCTCATACACACAACACATCTTTCAGACCCGTCCACTGAGCCCAGCTCCAGGCGCCCGGGAGCGGCAGAGTGCTGAAGCCGGCCCCCTGACCTCGGCCGCCGGGGAGAGGTAAGGGGCTGGAGAGGAGGGGGCTGAGGCCACACCAGCTCTAGAGACTGGTTTGGCAGGGGCGAAGGAGAGAGGTACGATGTGGGGGGTGCTGGGAAGGTGGGTACCTCCCCCCCACCCCTGCCGGGCTGGACCAGCCCCGTCCGGTTTACAGAGGGGATGTGGCCGGGTGTGTAGAGGAGCCCACCCTGCCCACACCCCTCCCTCCCTCCCGCTCCCTGGCCCCCCGAGGGGAGCGGGGGCTGTGTGGCTCCCAGCGAGCGAGACAGCGTGTGTCTGCGCGTCTGTGTCTGGGACCTGCGTCTGGCTCGAGAAGCAGAGCAGAGCAGGCACCTGCCAAGCCGCAGCCTCCTGTGTGGGAACCGGGGGAGACAAATGACTGGAGAAATAATCTGAGCAATTGTGCCCCTACCAGATGCCAAAAGTAAAGTGCAGGAGGGGGCATAATGGGCCTTGTCCCCAGGACTTTGGGGGCTGGAGGGGGCAGGGAGGGGCAGGGGGGAAGGGCAATCTGGAGCCCACAGTTGGACCCAGTGCAGCTGTCTTATCCTGACTCTGTTTCTTCCCAGTGTGATGGGGTTAACTATGATGATTGGCTTGGAAAGGTAGCTCTATGCTATTATTTTCACCTTGGAGCCACCCCACCTGTCCTTTTGCCTCTCCCGAGGCCACCCCTCTCCCCTGCTTTGACCTCCACTCTTGCTGGGGTGCAGCCCCTGGAAGGCAGGGGTGATAAGCCAGAGGCTTCTGGGCCTGGGGCGGTGGGATGCAGGGACTGGGGCAGCCTCCGCTGGCGCCAGGTCCCTGAGTGGCCTGACCCGGGCACAAGGAGTCCAGGTGGAGACCAGGGGCCGTGATACTGGCACCCACGACGGAGACAGCAGGTTCCTGCCAGGCTGCCAGCCTGCGGCCTCTTCCCAAGGAGAGGGGAGGGGGATGCAGGGTGAGAACAATAATAAACACTGAGTGTGAACTGCTGCATCCGCTGCGAGGGGGGAGGGGAGGCGGAAGTGCACCCCAGTGGGGGGTGGGCAACCTCTGGGAGCCTGGCGTGGGGCCAGCCTGGCTCCGCTCCAGTAGGGGCCTCTCTCTGGGAAGGGGTTGTCTCCAGCCCCCTGGGCGATGGGGAGTCAGCTCCCCCAAATCAGACTCCATCCCAGAGGCCTCCGGGTCCTCCACATTCTGGATGTTTCCTCCTCCCAGCCTCCCCTCTGCCACTTCCTTCAAGCCTTTCCCTAAAACATCCATGCTACCAGGCCTGCCCCGCCCCCCGGCGTGTGTCTGGCCCGCCCTCCAAAAGAAGGACAGATGGAAGCAGGAATGCACACTGGCCTGGGGGAGGCCAGGGGGCCGTTCCGGGCCTGGAGACAGGTGGACAGTGCTCAGGGGTGGCCACTGGCCATAGAGTGAGTCTCGCTAGGGAGCATGGGGGGGCCACACACAGCTAGTGGGTGGGGAGGGGACACCTGGAGGCTGGTCTGGAGTAGATTCCCAAGAGTGGCACCAGCAGAGGGCGCTCTGGGCCTGGCTGAGCGGGTCACAACCAGCAAGACCAGGAAGGGCCCAGAGCCTGGTAGAAAGGGGACTTGGGACAGGGGAGCAGCAAGATGGGGGCGGGGGGGGGGGGGTGGTGCAAAAAGCAGTGTGGGGCTCTTCGTCTGCCCCAGACCACTGAAATGGTGGTCACCGGGATGAGAGGCAGGATGCGATGGAAAGGTCAAGCCTGTGGGTCATGCTGATGGGAGTTCAAGCTCAGTCCCTTTACAAGTTACTCTGACTAGTATGTTCCTGTCTCTAAAGGGACTCAGAGTGGGGAAGTGACTTGCCCAGGGTCACACAGCCTGGCCCTCCATGTACCCATCCCGGCATCCCTGCCCCCGCTGATGCTGATGCCAAGAAGGCCCAAAGGCCTAATCCCAGCAGGCCCCCCCCCAGACGGCATGGACATGTGACAAGGACCAGAACAAAAGAGTCTCAATTAAACTTAAGTATTGGCTGGGGTACCTCCCTGCCCTTCCCCCCACACCATGGAGGGGGAAAGAACCAGGCTTAATTAGGTCACCTCCAGCTGCTGGAGCAGCTTTGCACTGAGGTATTTTAAGGAGTGTCTGAGAGGCAGGGTGGGGGAGGGGCCGGGGAAGTGTCAGCCTCTGCCCAGTGGTCCTGAGGCTGTTCCCTCCGCTCCCAGGGCTCACCGTAGACAGGACCGCAACCTTCAGAAAGCCCTTCCACTGTCATCCGGTGTCCCCTGTCCTTCCCATTTTTAGGCCACCATATCCTTCCTCCCCGCCTGCTTCTCCACAGTGGGGTCTTGGGCTGGAATGCTTTTATTGGGGAAGCTGTTTTTAAGCAGAGTTGGCGGGTGACTCACCCAAGGTCATGGTCTGAGTCAGCGCCAAGCCAGGAATAGAGCCCCAAGTCCTGACTCCCCAGTTCTTCCACACCCCAGCCCTCCCTTCTCCAGGGACGTGCTGGCCCTCCCCCCACCTTCCAGCAGGAGCTGAATCTGCACCCCCAAATGTTTCCGGGCTGTGGAAGCGCTACCCCTGACTGGCTGGGCGACCCCAATGAGCCTCAGTTTACTCTTCCGAAGGGTGGGGGTGGGCACGGCGCAGTCACACAGTGCTGCTGTGAGAACTCCCCATGAGGACACGGGGCAGAGGGCCTGGCACCCCACCTGGCACCGAGTGGTGCTGGAGTGGCCGTGGCCTGTCATTCAGACTCTCCCCACCCCGGGGCTCCAGTGCGGTCTGGGCGGGGCTGCCTCCTCTCGCGTGTGTGGTCCCGGTGCCTTGCACCCAGTGTTCCCTCACGTGTGTGCGTAGGTGCGTGACTTTAGGGGACAGTTGGGCGGACCCTCGTTCGTCATCTTGGCCCGTGGAGATTCGTGTAGCTGAGGCCGCCGGGTCAGGTGCTTGTCCCAGGCCACCGGGCACCGGGAGGTTAAGCCAGCTTGCTTTCCCGGGTCTGCCCCGAAGGAGAGCTTGTTCACGTGGCCAAGAGAGGACGCTGACAGCCATTTCCTGTCTGTCTTCCTGGAGGAGCTGAGAATTGGAGGAGCCCCGGCACCAGGGCCACGGTCACCCGCTGACAGGGCTGAGTCACCCGTCTCATGGTGCCACGAAGCTGGCTGGGTCGCAGGGGCCTCCCTCCGGCTATCTCCCAGCAGCTCAGGTGTTTTGCTTTCGCCTCCCTGGGCGCTGTCATCTGCGGAATCACGGGGTCAGCTGGGGTCAGGCCTGCACCCGGGCAAACGAGGAGGGGCGTGGCTGGGAGCCAAGCCACGTAGCCGGGGAGCTGCCCCCTCACAGGTGGGCCCACGCACAGCTCCCCGGCTCCTCCCACAAGGGCACGGGTGCTCTGTGATCAGCCCTATTTGACAAACGAGAGAAATCGGAGGCCTGGGAGGAGGGGTGCCGTCCCTCAGCCAGAGCACTGTGGAGCCAGGGACAGCTGGGGCCTGAGCTGTCCTCGCCTGCCCAGACCGCCGGTTCTGAAGGGCACTGCTCCCGGCAGGACATGCCCCCAGACCAGCTCACGGGGGCCTTTGGGAGCTGGGCTTTGGGTCTGCGTGAGTTGAAACCAATGTTCTGCAGACACATTCGTTTCTCTGCTCTTGGAGGAGTTTATTTTCCCCTTCAGTTTCTCGGGGAGAGTTCTTTTGGAAAAACGCCAGCCTCGTCTTGGCTGGGCTAGGAACACAGTTCGTCCTCGCAGGGAGAGCACTGGTTACCTGCAGATGAATCTGGGCTTTCTCACCTACCCCCTCTGAGCCTCAGCTTCCTCATCTATAAAATGGAGACAATTCCAATCTCAACCTCTCAGGGCAACTATAGGAGGTTGGAAAATGAGAAATCGTCTCTGAAGACTTCTGCAGATGTGTACGGCATTCTGACGATAGAAGCCCGTCTTGGCCCGCCCCTTTCTGTAGCAGCACCCGGACTGTCTGTAGCAAGGACCTGGGCTGGAAGCTTTCTCTGCGTCCCTTCTCCCTGGTCTCCTCAGCTGCTGCGAATGGTGCGGTTCCTTCAAGTCCAGGGCTCTGGCCCGGAGACGGAAAGACTCTGTCTGTCCAAGGTCACAGAGCAAGCCAGTAACAATGCAGGGCCCGAACCCGGGACCCTGACTTCCCACTCCAGGCCGCAGAGGCAGATTGCCCAGGTTTGAGTCCTGGCTCGGACATTAATTGCTGTGTGACCTTGTGTGAGTGGCTTAGCTTCTCTGATCCTCAGTTTTCTCTTTTACAAGATGGGCTAATAATAGTACCAGCCTCAAAGGGCTGTTGCAGAAATTTCATAACAGGGGAAGCCATGACAGATGGGGCGGGGATCTGGTGGGTGGGTGTGTCCCTGGGGGGGCAGGGAACAGGTGAGTGAACGGTGGGCTTGGTTAGCTCCGCTGGGTCTCTCCTTCCTCCTGCTTTCTCCTCCCCTCACGCCCCATTTAGCAGCCCTGTCTGGGAGGAGCAACCTCTTACCCAGCACCTACTCAGGTGCTTCCCGCATTCCATCCCATTTCTTCCTCCGAGGAGCTCTCCAGGGAGGGAGTCTTGTGATCCCAGTTTCCAGGAGAGGAAAGAGACGGGCGGAGGGCGCAGAGCAGCTCCGCTGTGGGGGCTGCCGCACCTGCCCCTCCCACCCAAAGGCAGACTCCCTGCCTTCTCCCGAGGGCACCACCCCCCACCCCCACCCCCGGGGGAGAATGTGGCTGGGGAGCAGCCGCAGCCCATTCCCATGGGGGCCGGTTGCTGCTGGTCCATTTGGGGAGCCCACTGATGGGAGGGGAAAGAAGAGGGCTGCTCTGCTATCCAGGCTGACCCTGGATAATCCCTGCATTTCCCCGCTTCCCACCGCCTGGGAGCCTTGCTCCCTTGGCCTAGGCTTGGGAGGCCTGGCTGGCCAGTGCCCAGCCCAGCTCAGCTGCGTCTCCCTGGTAACCGCTGTGGGCCGCCTCTGCCCTTCCCCCACCGCCTTCTGTCCCCTCCTCCACCCCCCAGGACCTCCCTGCACTGGCTGTCACCACCAGGCACAGTACCAGGCCTGGGTAAACTGCAGTGGGCGGGACCTCCCTGCTTCCTGCAGAGAGGAAGGAAGAGCTTCCGTCCCCACCACCCGCCACCCTCGCCCCGGTGAGGTAGGGGACAACCAGCCTGGCACCTGGTGCTTTCCTGGCTGGCGCCTTGGGGAGCTTTGCTGCCCGTCTTTGTGATAACAGCTTTACTGAGATACAATTCACATGCCACGCAGTTCACCTGCCTGGGGAAGGCGGGCGAGTCCGAGGTTTGGGTACATTCACAGAGCTGGGTGTGTCCGTTTTAGAACATTTCCAACACCCCCAAAAGAAATTCTGTACCTACTGGAAGTTGCTCCCCACTTTGCCCTCCCCCAGGCCCTGGGAAACACTAATCTGCTTGCTTTCTCTGCGAATTTGCCTATTCTGGTCACTTCTCATGAACGGAATCAGGCACTGTATGGTCCCTCCTGACTGGCTTCTCCCCCTGACATGATGACCTCAGGTTCCTCTGTGTCCAGCCTGTGTGGGGACTTCCTCCCGTTTTCCGGCGGGACAGCGTCCTGCTGCACACGGCACGGCGGTTTGCCTGTCCGTCCACCGGCCGAGGGGCCTCGGTGCGGTCCCCCGTGTGCCGGCTGTAAGCAGGAATACTGCCGTGAATACTCAAGTGTTTGTGTGCAGGCTTCTTTTCTTGAAGCTTCCGTTTTCTTCTCTCTAAAATGGGGATAGAAATGCCAAACCTAGCCCACCCCTGCTTCTTGGAGTGGGCTCTGGGAGGAAGACCTGACCTCAGCCTGAGGGGGTTATGGGGGCAGTGAGGGGCTGTAGGGGACCGTGACGATGACTGTGGGAGCCATGAACGGCAACTGCCTGCCCCTCTAGCTCTGCTGCATGGAGGGGGATCCCTGGGCAGGGCGGGGGCAGTCTCACCTGCACCCCCAGGGCGGGCAGAGCCACTCATCATCTTGACCCAGAAACACCTGATTTGCTGTGTGATCTTTACAGCGGCCAGGAATCCTGCTCCTGGGAGGGGCGTTGAACAAGTGACTCCTCGCTCTTCCAGCCCTACCGTGGGGTGTCTGGACGGCTCCCTGGGCTCTCCAGGCTCCTGGGAAGCCTTAAACCCCTCCCTGGAAACTCCAGGCTCGGGGGTGGGGCAATGTGGAGGCCAGGAATAGACTCGCAGCTCCGGGAGTCTCCTCTGACCCCGGAGCCTCTGGGTGAGGGGCTGGGGGAGCAAAGGAAGGGGGGTGAGAAGGTGGAGAACCCGTCACCCTGACCCCTACGTGACTGTGGACTCCAGGACTTTCTTTGCATCGCCAGGCTGAGCCAAGCCCCCCACAGCCTGTGAGGGGTGAAGTGGGGTTCGTCCGTCCCTTTGTGCGGAGAGGCCCCTGCTCCCCAAGGTCACAGCTAACCCGCAGCTGCGCTGGAGCTCTTCCGCCCAGGCGTCCTGCCTGGCCCCACGCGGCAGGCCGCCTGCCCCAGGCTCAGTCCACAGGCCTGGCCTGGTGCACGGAGCCCTTCTCCCCAGGGTCCCACGGCAGCACCTCTGGGGGTCCGAGGCTTCCCAGCCCCTGTGGGGAGGGGGGGCGGGGAAACGACCGTATTTTGCCACGTGTAATGCACACTTTTTCGCCCACATTTTTTGGGGGAAAAATAAGGATGCTCATTGTACCTGGGTATAAGTGATTACATGCTATGGGCATGATAATCCCGTGTATAATGTGCACAAAAACCTGGGTTCACATTGTACACCGCAAAATACGGTGTGTTCACTTCCTCAGTGGAAGAAGACACAGGTTGAATGTTTTCAAGGTCATCTATACACTGAGCTGTGGGCCGGGAATTTCTGTTGGTTTGCATTGATAATAGCAATTGAGTAACTTACAAAGGAGTTCCCATCAGACTGTCAGCTGATTTCTCAAAAGAGACCTTACAGGCAAGAAGGGGCTGGAAGGAAGTATTCCAAGTCATGAAAGACAAGGACCTACATTCCAGATTGCTCTATCCAGCAAAGCTCTTATTTAGAATGGAAGGGCAGATAAAGTGCTCCTCAGATAAGGTCAAGTTAAAGGAGTTTGTCATCACCAAGCCCTTATTTTATGAGATGTTAAAGGGACTTATCTAAGAAAAGAAGATAAAGAAAAACCATGTATAGTAAAAGGATAACAGCAATTGATTGGGTACCTGCAAGATGCCAGATGCTGTCACACACACTAAGTCGCTGAGTCCTCAGCAACCTTGCGAGGTAAGGGTGCCCGGTCTCAGTCCGGAGAGGAGGGAACGGGGCAAGGGCAGCCCACCAGCCTTCCCAGAGCTCTCCTCGCCTGTGCCCCGTTCCGAGCGTGTAGAAAGTCACAGTCCTCCCAGCAACCTCCCTGTGACGTCAGAACCAACACTATCCCCATTTTACAGAACAGGAAACTGAGTCAAAGTTTGAGTGTCGACCACGGTCACAGAACCCGTAGGCAGAGACGCCAGGATTCAAACCCAGGCCCTCTGGGCCCACGGTCCACCCACCCACCCACCCACCCACCACGTTGGAAGGGAGGTTGCCAGGTTATGATTGACAAAGCCAAGGTTCAAACCCAGATCTGTGGGTTTGGAGCTGCTGACACTCGGGCCAGACTGTGTTCCTGACCGTCGCTGGCCACCTCACCTCACTCATCCCACCCCCCAGGCCCCCGGAGTCGGAGGATCCAATGTGAAGCAGGAAGGATTTTGGTGCCCGTCTCCCTTGGGGCGGACCACCGTAACAGAACACCACGGACGGGGGCCTTAAACATCAGACGCCCCGTCTTACTGTTCTAAGGCTAGAAGTCCAAGCTCGTGGTGCCAGCGTGGTGTGGCTCTGGTTCGTCGACGGCCCTCTTCTCGCTGTGTCCTCACAGGCCAGGGGGAGAGGAGGCAGGCTCTGCAAGGGCTCATCTGGGGACCCTAACCCTTTCGTGGGGTCCCACCCTCCTGGCCTCATCAAACCCCAGCTGTCTTCCAGAGGCCCCATCTCCAACACCGTCAGGCCAGGGGCAGGACTTTGGCACTCGAATTGTAGGAGAATACAGTCCCGCCCGTAGCCAGGTTCTATGTTTCGTCTTGGTGGTGAGGACACTGAGTCAGAGAAGGGCCGCCTGATGTCGTCCTGGGGGGCGCGGCAGGCAGGCAGGCAGGCAGGCCCGGCCCTCCAGGCTGGTGCTCAGCATCCAGAAGCTGCCCGTCCCGGACCGCACTCACCCCTCCCTCTCTCTTCCCTTCCAGACGGAGCCTGCGGCTGCAGAGGCCTCCGAGCAGGGCCAGGCCGGGCCCTGCCCGCAAGGACGCCCAAGCCCCTCACCGGCCCCTGGGCCTGGGAGCCCCCCTGGCTCTCCCGCCAGCCGCGCCATGACTTCGGAGCCCACCTCGTCCCCGGTCGTGCCCCCACTCCACTCCCCAAAGTCCCCGGTCTGGCCCACCTTCCCCTTCCACCGGGAGGGCAGCAGGGTCTGGGAGAGGGGCGGTGTCTCCTCTCGGGACCTGCCCAGCCCCCTGCCTACCAAGCGGACCAGGACGTATTCAGCGTGAGTACCTGCCCCTCGTGCTGGCTTCCGCCCCATCCCTCTCCAGCCCCTGCTCTTTCCCAAGGACGGGAGAGCTGCGTGTGGACTGTTCAGTGACTGCCGGTGTTCGTTCATTCATTCATTCATTCATCCATCCATTCCATAAAGATTTATTGAGCTCCTGGCTAGGGGCTCCGGTGGTAAACTCTACAAAGTCTCAGCTCCACGAGCTGCTCACCATTCCCAGGGAATCCGTCCCCCCTTCGCTGCCTCTGGCAGGGGTGGGAGTGAGGATCAGGGCTAGGCATTAGGGACGGCGACCTCTCGGCCAGGTTCGGAAGATACAGCACGTGAAGGACAAAGTTGGGAGACGGAACGGCCTGGGCAAAAATGGAGGCGTGGGGTTGCCCTTTGGAGTGGCGTGGGCCTTTGGGGGACAGTCACGGATGGGGTCAGAGGGCGGAGGGGGTTTGTCAGACCCGCGGGGAGGATGACATGGCTTGGCCGAAGGAGGACTGTTTGGACGGCAAGTGCTAAGCATCCCTTTCGTCCAGCCCGGGGCCAGGCACAGCGCAGGTGCTTGACAAACAGTCAAAAGGGCTCGCCTTCCTCGCACCCCCCCCCCCCCGCCCCCGCCGCCAGCCCCAGGCCCCTTACCTGGCCCTTCCCTCTCTGAGCGCCTGGGGTCCTGCTCTTGCTTCCGTAACTTGTTCCCTGAGCCCACAGAGCCCAGCTGGCTCACTCCTGCTGCCTCTGTAACTTTCTAAATAAACTTCCTCTTAGAACTCGAAACACATACATAAACAAACGAGGGAGAACGAAGGAGCGGCAGATGAGTGAAGAGGGTGTCACTGCTGCAGGGGAGAGTGAGGAGGGGCTGCTGTGCATGGAGGGGCGCTGGCTGGGAGTCGGAGACCCACTTGCTAGGTGCCCCAGGAGGGCCGGTACCCCGCTGGGGCCCCAGTCTCCTGTTCTGTCAGCGCAAGGAGCTGAGTGAATTAGCATAACTGAGTGCAGTTTCCGGTGGAAGGTGAGGGGGGGCGTTTTCCTGAGTCCGGCTCCCCAGGCAGAACCCAGGAGGGCTGTGGGGGTCTGGGTGGGGGGGTGCCCCCAGGCCACAGTGCCAAAGCCCCTGCTCTATCTTTAGGACAGCCCGCGCCTCTGCTGGCCCCGTGTTCAAGGGCGTCTGCAAGCAGTTCTCCCGCTCCCAAGGCCACGGCTTCATCACCCCTGAGAACGGATCCGAGGACATCTTTGTGCACGTGTCAGAGTGAGTCCTGTCCCCCGCCCCCCACCTCAGTGGTCCCTCCTGTCTCCCCCCACCCCACCCTCGTCAGCTGCAGCGTCCTCACAGGGCCTCGGAAATGCCTCCTCAGGCTTCTCCCCTCGCAGCTGAGGTCTGTGCCCCCCCAGTGTCATTCTCCTCCTCTCCGGGGCTGGGTGCACGGTGGGAGGAGGAGGAGAGCTGGGGTGCATGGCAGGAGGGGGTCCCAGGAGCTTTAGGAACTGCCAGCTGAGCCCCAGCATCCTGTCTCCGCCTCAGGGGCCTGGGAGGGCGGGGCCAGCCCCTGAGCCCTTCTGCCTGGGAGGGGCCGCAGGCAGGCAGGCCAGCCAGGAGGGGACAGCTGTGGCTAGGCCAGTGTCCCAGCCCTAATGCCAGGCATGACCTGGCGGGGTCACAGTTTCTCTAAGCCTCGGGGACCTCCCTGCACCCTTTCTCATCTCACTTAGTCCCCAACAACACGGAGAAAAGGACAGTTTATGCTTCCCACTGTACAAGGTCACGGGCTGAGGTTCTGACGGGGAGGCCGGGCCGCCCGTAGGCCAGGCTGCAGGGGGTGTCCAGGGCGGGGGCCTGCTGCGGGGCTGACAACCCTTTCCTGTCTCCAGCATCGAGGGGGAGTACGTCCCGGTGGAGGGCGACGAGGTGACCTTCAAGATGTGCCCCATCCCACCCAAGAACCAGAAGTTCCAGGCTGTGGAGGTGGTGCTCACCCAGCTGGCCCCCCACACTCCCCACGAGACGTGGTCCGGCCAGGTCGTGGGCTCCTAGGCTGGGCGGGGAGTCCCCCGGGGTGGACAGGTGGCAGCCGGCTCCCTGCCCCACGGCACTGGCTGTGGTCTGTCCCCCGGGCGGCCTCAGTGCGCGAGTCTGTCTGTCTGTCTGTCTGTCTGTGTTTACGGCCGTGAGCGTGTGCCTCCATCCAGCCCTGTGACCCGTGACTGTTATGTGAGCTGGACGGAGGGGGCAGCCCCTGGACTTGCCTTCTCTTCTCGTCCACTCTCCCTCCTTCCTCCCCTCCCTGCTGAATCGGCTCAGCACCTCTCGCCCCCCTGCCCACGTGCCTGCAGGGGGCACCCCTGGGCCCTGCCTCGGCCTGAGGCCCCAGCCCGGGGGCCAGGGCTACCTGTGCTCCCTGTGCCCCGCCCCCTGGGCGGGGGCCTCCCACAGTGGCCTGGACCCCACCCTCAGGAGCCAGGCCAGCGAGCACTTGGGGGGGCCTCCCAGCCTGCGGCGAGGAAAGAGGGCGGAAGGCGGAGGCACGCAGGCCCTCGCCGGTGCCCCAACCCGGTCTTCCTCCGCTCTCCCAGCACACCCTGGAGGCAGGAGAGGGGCTGAGGGCCAAGGCGTTTGGGGCCTGCCCCTTCTCCTCAGCCTGGCAGTGGCTCCATGAACCCCAAACTGAGGTTGCATCTTCTCCCCTGGGCCGCGCTCAGCCGGCTGCCTCAACTTCCCCAGGAGGCGTGGGTCTGTGGGGGGAGGGGACGTGTCTCCCCGAGCCTGGATGGAGGCCTCCCTTTGGTCCTGACTCACAAGCCTCACGGATGCCCTGCCTGTGCGCCACACGACGGCGCCACGTCCGTCCCCTCGGGCAGGGCCCGGCGGGGCACCCACCGAGAGGGCCCTCAGCCTGGAGGCCGCTAACCCTGCTAAGACCCCTTGCCGGTCCCTCATCTCAAAGCAGTGGGACGGCGGTTTCCGCCGGCCCTCAAGCCAGCGGCCAAGTCGCGGTCCCTACGTTGTCAAGCCCTTCCGGGGTGTGTGTGTGTGTGTGTGTGTGTGTGCGCGCGCGCGTGTGCATGTGTGTGTGCATGCGCACGCATGCGTGTGTGCTCACTCTGGGGTGGGGTGGGGTGGGCCTGGCCTGGGAGGCGGGGAAGGAGGGCTCCGCCCCCACCCCCGACCCCGCCCAGAGCACGTGACCTGATGCAGACTGAACCGGGGCTTAGGGGGCGGGGCCTGCAGGACAGTGACCCTGAGGACATGCAGTCTGTGTGTAAGTGGGGGCGCGTGTGCCCAAGATGCAGGGGTGACAACTGCCCAGGACCCCCAGCTCTGAAGACGCCCAGGCCGCGGGGTAGAGATCAGCCGGGACGTGCGCCCCGTCCTCGGTCCCATCCTCAGTCCCCACCAGGGCCTGGGAGCCCCGCGCTGCTGGGACGTGCTGGCCAGCTGCCCGACCCTGAGAGTGGCCCGGCCTGACACCCGGCTGCGAGCTGGGGCTGCGCTGGCGAGGCCCGAGGCCTCTCTCATGAGAACAAGGACTCCCCGGCCTCCTTGGTAGGTTTGCTGGTGCAGACTAACCCCTGGGAGCCCCCCAAAACCCCCCTCCTGTGAGTAGACCCCCTTTTTGAGGCACTGGCGAGGAGGCAGGATGTGGGGACATCAGCCCTGGGGCCACCGGGGGTGACAGGAGCAGCAGCACTCCCGTCACCTCGCCCCACAGTGTCCAGTCACAAACCCTCCCGGCCCCCAGGCCACCCAGACCCCCTCCCACCCCAACACTGGCAATAAACCCTCAACTGCGACTCAGCTTGGCCCAGAGCTGCCTGTGTGTCTGGGGAGGGGCGGGGGAGAACAGCCCAGACCACCCTCCTTCACTGGATCGGCGATGTCCTGTGTGACCTGTGCCGAGTCCCCGTCACCTGTGCCTGTCTCCTCATCTGCAAAGAGGTGGCCACGACGGCATCTGTGACGGGTACCAATTCCCCAGTCAGAAAGAGCTGACGCCACACCTTGTCCTGGGGGCTTTAATGTTTGTGACAAAGTTCTAGTAAACACACACCCTCCCCGCCGCCCTGCACCCACTCTGGGGCAGGAAGGCAGGGTGGACTCTGTCCCATGCCAACACTCACACACACCTCTGCCCAGCGCAGGCAGAACCCTGTTCCGTTCAGAAGTACAAGCAGCAGCTGGAGCCAGGGCCGCTGGGGTGGAGGGCGGAGCCAGTCCCTCCAGGAGCTGACCACGAGGGACGGGCCATGCAGACCCTGGCCCTGTCACGGTGCGGGGGGGAGGGGCCTTGTGGCAGGCGGTGGTGAGGCAGGCATCCCAGGCCGGAGGAGGAAGGTCCCAGCACCCACTGAGCACCAGGGCCAGGGCGCCCTCTGGGCCCGGGCGGAGGTCTCCGGGAGCTGCGGTCATGCCTCGTGGGCTGTCTCTGGGAAGAAGATCTCACGGCATCGCTGCACTGTGTCCTGAGGGGAGACCACGCTGTGGCCCACAGTCCGGGGGTCGGCGTAGATCTCAAAGTCGTTCCCACCCTGCGCACAGAGACAGAGAAGGTGGCGCCTGGACAAGGCTCCTGGGGTTGGGGACCCACACCCACCCTGACACGGGGTCTCCTCCCACACGGGCTCCTGCAGCACTGCCCCTCTGGAGGGCCCCTGAGAACACCCAGGACGCTGTCCCGTGCCCTGACTTGTTATGTGACCCGGGGCAAGGGTCCAGCCAGCTCTGGGCCCCAGCCTTCCAGTTTGCATAACGGGCTGGTGAGCACGGGCTGTTCTCGGGGAGTCCCCCAAAGTCTGCTCTGTCACCCCATGTCCTGGCCTTGACCTGGGGGGGTGACGTGGAGTGGGAGGGGCCTTGGCTGAGCCACACTCACGGGACTGGTCTCATTCCCGAAGAAATGGATGGTGTCGAAGCTGTCCTGGCCCAGGCTGTCCAGGCAGTAGCGTTTGTCCCAGCCCTCAGGGAAGACGTCAAAGCTGATCATGCCTCCTGCAGGGGCGGGGCGGGGCGGGCAAAGCCCGCAGAGGGGTGGCTGGAGGGTGAGCCTGGGTCAGGCTCTTCACTTGTTACTTCATTCCACCACCCTGAGAGCCTCCTGCTGCCCAGGCGCAGGGCGCGGGACAGACGCACTTGGGGTCCTTGTGACGGTTTTGATCCAGGGGTGGCGGTGGGTGGCAGGGAGCTCTCTAGCCAGCGTGGTAGGGGTGACCTCTCTGAGGAGGTGACACTGAGCTGAGATGTAAGCCAGCACGGTGGTGGCTGGGGAGCGAGGACAGCCCCCAAGGGAGGTAGGGGCATGGAGTGTAACAGGTCTGTTCTTCTGTAAGGAGCCCCCTGGCCACTGTGGGGATGGGTCAAAGGTGAGGGGGCAGCGGGGGGCCAGCCACATGAGTTAGCCAGACGGAGCCCCGGCCGAGGCTGTTGGTAGGGGAGGCGTGGGCAGGGGCAGATTCCAGATGGATTCCAGATAGGGGGCTCCGGGACTTGCTAGCAGACTGGACTTGGGAAGGGGTGATGGAGAAACCTCAAAGGAGGCGCTGGTTTTTGCCTTGAGCACCTGGGTGGGGGGCTGCTGCCTGGGCTTGGGTGCGGGGGAGTGGGAGGCGGTAGCACACAGAGTCCCTGGCTGTTTGGGCTGTGCCTGCCCCTGCTCTGCCTGGGGGGCGAGGGTGGGGTCGGAGTGCAGCGAGGCCCCAGGGCCGGGCCCCTCAGGCCCCACATGGGTGGACGTACCTCGGGAGAACCTCAGCCCTTTGCCGGCAAACTCAGTTTTCAGGGCTTCCACGAACTTCTCCCGGATCCTCTCCTTCTGGAGGAAGGAAGAGAGCAGACCGGGGCTCAGAGCACCGCTGCGAGCCAGGCCCCGTGCGGGGCGCACAGCTCCTGCGAACTCCCTGAGTCCCCCTGGGGGACACATGACCCCTCCTGACCCACGGGAAGCCAGCTCAGAGAGGGCCTGCGCCTGTTCAAGGTCACCCAGCCTCAGTGGCAGAGCCAGGGCCCGAACCCAGGAGGTCTGTGACTGAACTCAGTGCCGCGTCCTGCCAGTGGGGACACTGGGGAGCAATGGGAAGGACGCCCTGGAGTAGATAGAGGCTGAAGGAGGCGCGTTGGAGGGAAAGGGCAGTGGAGCCCCCAGTCAGGGAGCCCGCCCGGTTCAACGAGGCGAACCGTGGCTCGGACGGCAGACGTGCGTGTGAGGAGCAGAGCGCACGTGACGGCCTGCGAACAAGCAGCAGCGGGCGCTCAGAGGGAGGTCAGCAGGATGCCGGGCACGAACATACATAGCACCAGCCAGGCAACGTTCATCTGCTGAGTGCCCCTGGGTGCAGTGGACTGGCCCGGGCTGGGGGGGGGGCCAGCAGTGCCCAGGCAGCCCCCGCCCCCACCCCTGGGGCAGCATATCTACAAACGTGCAGTCGGGGGGCTTTCACTCACCAGCCGGAGGGTCCCCAGCCTGGCCCCGCTGGGACCACAGAGGGGAACAGCCATGCCGAGCCCAGAGGGGCGGCCGTACTAACAGGGGGATGGGGCGGGGGCAGCACCACAGGAGTGGCCAGCTCCCTCAGCCCAGGCTCTCTGTGGCCCAGGGACAGAGGTGGGCTGTCCCCATGTGGCCCCAGCAGCTCAGCAGGATGGTCCGCTCACAGGGAGCCTGGAGGCCCGGTTTGGAGAGTTAGGACACATCCTGGGGGACCTAACGCCACTAGGGACTTCAGAGCACAGGAGTGGAGTGCCTTACTGTGCCTTTGTCAGCAGAGCCTTGGGTGGGGCTGGAACAGAGCGGGGGGCAGGTGATGGCCGGCGCTCTGCAGCCTAGAAGCAGTCCAAGGAGGACACAGGCCGTAGGGCCTGCCATGGCCCAGGCTCCAGGCCCAGCCACTGTGCTTCCCGGCCGTGTGACCACGGGCAAGTCGTCCGACTGGTACGGACGAGTGCTCCCAAATGGCTCCAGGGCTGGACCTTCTGTCCCTGGAGAACCAGCCCCATGTGCCAAGTTCAGCTTCAGCAGGGACTAGCACTGTGACCTCTGGCCTCAGCACCTCATCTAAGGAAGGGGACTACCTGTCCTCGGGGTCTGGACCCGAGAGTCCCGAGGGACCAAAGGGGAGCAGAGCGATTATTTACATCAGGCCTGCCCGGCGCAGGGCACGCAGGAGGCCCGGCGGCCCACGCCCCACACAGCACGGGGGCAGGTGAACAGGAGCCAAAGAGAGGAGGGGAGACCCCCCTCGGGGCTGTGGGGAGAGTGAGCGCCGCCAGCCCTCCGTCCTGCCCAGTCCTCGGTGCGCCCTGCAAGGTGGGGACTCAGACCGCCCCCACTTTGAAGATGAGAAAACACGCCCTGGCTGGTGTTGGCTGAGCATCGATCGGCCTGCGAACTGAAAGGTCGCTGGTTTGAGTCCCGGTCAGGGCACACGCCCGGGTTTTGGGCCAGGTCCCGGGCTGGGGGTGTGCAAAGAAACCAACTGATGTTTCTCTTTCTCCCTCCCATCCCCTCTCTCTCTGAAAAATAAAATCCTAAACAAACAAACAAACAAAAAAAGATGAGAAAACAGAGGCATACAGTAGTGAAGTCGCTTTTCCAGGTGACTGACTCGTCGCGCAGACGGTGGAGCTGGGCCTGGAACCCTGCGTGGCCCCAGGAGGGGCATGTGCGCGGGAGCCGTTCTCTGCCAACGGTCAATCCTAACTACGCCCACGGGGAAAGTCTCCCTGCCGGTGGGGCACTGACTCCGCCAAGCCTCTGGACAGGGAGTGGGGGTGGGGCTTGCTGAGCTGGGACGGAGAGTTGGGTTGGCTTCACTGGGAGTCCCCGCCCACCCTCAGGGAAACTTGTCTCAAGTTGAAATCCTTGCTCTGCAACCAATTCCCTGTGTGACCCTGAACAGGTCACTTGCCCTCTCTGGACCTCAGTTTCCTCATTCATAAAATGGGGATGATACCACCTATTTCATTCATTCAGAAAGTATTTCTTGAGCCCTTGCTATGCGCCGGGCGTGTGCTGGGCACAGGGGACTGGGCAGTGAACAGCACAGACATCCTGGCCCTGAAGGAGCTTACAGCTTCGGTGGGGGCGAGACAACAGCCAAGGTTTTTTAAAAGCCAAGCAGGGGATCCGGTGCTGACAGGGTAGCGAGGGCTGCTAGGGGAGACATCAGACAGAGTCGGAGGTGCAAGGGGACGCAGTGTTAAATGTCATGCTCGGGGAAGGCCCCGCTGAGAAGGTGACACCTGAGCAGGTGTCAGGGAGGTGAGGACGAGCCGCGTCTGGGGGCACAGCCCTGGGCCGGAGACCGCCTGCGGTCTTACGGTCAGCAGAGGGCACGTGGCCGGGGCAGAGGGCATAAGGGGGATAGCAGACTTGAGGTCAGAGAGGCCGGGGACGGGCCAGCATGAAAAGGCTCGGATGGATGGACTCGCTCCGTCCCTGGAAGGATGCGGGGGGTGAGGACGACAAGCAAAACACAAGTCAAGGTTTGGCAGGGGCGGCACACAAAGGACCTTGGGAAGTCCTAAGCACAGGTGCGGAGAGAAGGCCGAACAGGTGGGCCTGAGCCAGGCAGGCAGACCCTCAGGACACCACGGGAGGGGGCTGGGACACTGTCTGGTTGGCGAGGGGGCCACGGAGGACCGTGAGCAGAGAGGAGACGGGACGGATGTGCTTTACAAGGTTCTCAACACGCCGCTGGAGAGTGGACTGGTTTCGCCGCGTGTGGGGGGGGGGAGGGGAGTGCCGGCAGAGACACGGGCGGACAGACTGGAGACCAACTCCAGAGGCTGAACCACCAGGAGTGACTGCTGGATCCCGTGTGGGTGGGGAGGCGTGGAGGATGCCTGAGGTGCGAGTTTGCGTAAGCAGGTGGCTGGTGGTGTCAGCCGTCAGAGGAGGGAGCCCAGCAGGGTTGGAAAGACGCACGCATGCCCACAGCCGTCACGTGGTAGGTGTCCAGAAGGGTATCGGTTCTATCGGAACACCCCACTCCCAACCCATTTCACTGACGAGAAAATAGAGGCTCAGAGAGGTTGAGTGACTGAGGCCCTACAGCCTAAGGTGGCGGCACCTTGTCCAGTTCAGAGAACTCGATTCGCTCTTCCAGGGTGCAGCTCCGGCCGATGGGCGAGATGTTCAGCATGCCATTCCGAAACTCGATGAAGGTTCCACTGGTGGTGATGGGGGGTGGGAGCCAGAGAGAAAGAGACAAAGGCCCTGAATTCAATCCAGCCCCGTCTGGACCGTGCAGGGGGCAAGAGTCCACCCTCAGTAAGTCGGGGCTGGAGCATCTCCAGGTCCCACCAGAGACCCGCCCTTTGCTCCTCAGGCCCAGAGCTGGGAGGACGGGCTGGACACAGGCCGGGCAGGGTCTCACCGCTTCTTGGGCAGCCTGAGCAGGGCCATGTAGCGGAGGCAGAAGTTGATCAAGTCCTGCAGCAGCTCCTCCCCGAGGTGGTTCTGGATGGTCTGGGCACGGAACGCAGGGCTCTGAGAGGGGCAGGCGTGGCGCCCCTCCCCACACCCGGGACGGAGGGCACCACGGACGGCCGCGCTCACCGTGGAAAAGTGTCCCTGGGCTAAGTAAGGGGCTGGGGCGACACTGACCTGCTTGGAGAGCAGTCGTCCATGCTTGTACTGCACCGTCCCGTTCTCAGCAAACACGTAATCGAACTTCTCGATGACTTCAGGGACACAGAGAGGCCAGGGCAGAAAGAGAGAGCGTGAGACCAGGTGCCCAGAGCCAAGGAGACGAGGAGTGACTGGAGTGGGCGGGAGCGGGAAGGCACAGGGAACACGGCCAGAGGCTGTCGCACGGTCCAGGTGGGATGCGATCGACGGTGGGGCCGTGGGGATGGAGACATGGGCACGCAGGGAGATACTTCTGGACTGGCTGATGAACGAGGACAAGGAGGTGGGGAAAAGGGAAGCTCAAGGAAGTTTTTGGTCTGAGGAGCTGGAGTATGTGCCTGAGCTACGATCAGGAACTCGGCTGAGAATGGGGGTTCTGGGGCCAAACACTCCCTGGTGACTTCAGAATTCTCCTCTGTAAAATGGATACTCATGTACGCCCTGAAGCACAGTTGTGAGGGTTAACTGAAAGGAAGTTAACGCATGGTCATTTTCAAGAAATGGTAGCCATTATTGGTTATGCCCATGCCCATTTTAAAGATGAGGAAATTGAGATTCAGCAGGGAGAACTAAGAATGTAAACTATATAGGGGCAGGATTCTGCTTTTGTTCCCTGCTGTTTCTCCAAAAAACAATGCCTGGCTCTGGTTAGTGTGGCTTAGTGGATTAATCCCGGGACTGCAAACCAATAGGTCACTGGTTCGATTCAGGGCACATGCCTGGGTTGCGGGCCAGGTCCCCAGTTGGGGGTGTGCAAGAGACAACCGATCACCACCTCTCACACCGATGTTTCTTTCCCTCTCTTCTTCCCTTCTCCTCTCTCTAAAAATAAATAAATAAAATCTTTAAACAAAAACAGTGCCTGGCACACGGTAGGTGCTCACTAAGTGGTTGCAGAACCAGTGAGGGAAACATCTGGCTGTTTCTTCTACCTCCTTTGCCCCACAGAGGCAGGTCTGGGTCTTTGAAGGCACATTGATCCGGGGATCTCCCCACTCCCACCCCCAAGCCCACCGTGGGCTTGGCTCTGGCCAGCTCCTCCTACCTTCATCCCCCTCTCCCAGCTGCTCAGCAATCTTAGAGTAGTCGGAGCCGCCCACCACACCGATCTGTACCCTACTTCGCAGCTTCTGCAGGAAGGCAGCCACCTCAGGGTCAATTTTCTGCAGCAGGGTAGAGAAGCAAAGGATGCTGGTTGTCAGCTCGTCTGGGGCCTCCACTCAGCCCTCACTCAGCGCTCAAACTCCAGGGAGCCCATGTTCTACCTGGATCTGAGGCAGTTCAAGGTTTAGGACACAGATCTTAAAAAAATCAGACGCACTTGGGCCCTGGCTGGTGTGGCTCAGTGGATTGAACACCGACCTGCAAACCCAAGGGTTGCCGGTTTGATTCCCAGTCACAGCACATACCTGGGTTTCGGGCCAGGTCCCAAGTAGGGGGCACGTGAGAGGCAACCAGGTGTTGATGTTTCTCTCTCTCTCTTTCTCCCTCCCTTCCCCTCTCTCTAAAAGTAAATAAATAAAATCTAAAACAAACAAACAAACAAAACAACCAAAATCAGATGCACCTGGGTTCAAACTCTGGCTCAAGACCCTCAATAGCAGGATGACCTTGAGCAAATGGCTTTGCCTTTCTTTGCCCAATCTATAAAATGGGATCACGGCAGCAACATCTGCAGGGGGTCCCTCCTGGGAAGTGCTTAGAAATGACCAATGAACTGGTGACCGATTACACGAAAAGATTCCCCACCCAGGAAATGTACACTAACGAGTTATAATCCATGTTTTCAAACATTCAGATATTCAAAGCTGACAATATCAAGAGTGGATGACGACACTGGGCGGACAGACACTTTCAAATGCTGCTGGAGAGAGTGCAAACTGGCCATTTTGGAGGGTAATTTGGTGAAATCTACTAAAACTTAAAATGCATGTGTCCTGTCATCTGGCATTTCCACTCCTCTTGCCCATGTGGACACAGAGGGTCACAGGGGTTTGTAATAGTGGCAGATTTCAAGCGACTTTCGTGCTCATCAATCACCAGAGGGCACACACCTGCTCTGACATATCATACTGCGGTCACGCAGAGTCAGTCGGGCCTGTGCTTCCAGCTGGGAGAGTGCTCAGACCCACTGATCGCCAGAGACAACTTGCAGGAAGACGCGCACAGTGTGATGTACGATACCACTTATTTTTTAAGAAGCCTCCTAAAACAACACTTAATGTTTCCTCTGGGCAAACGGAGACCCACATAAAAGTCTGGGAGGAAGCCACACAGCAGGCAGCCAGGTTGCCCTGGGGAGGGGGCTGGATCCTGACCCAGCAAGTGGAGAATTAGCCTTCTCTGTTGTTTTCATTTATTACAAGAGAATGCACTTTTAATTATACAAATGTTCATAAATTATAATTGTATAATTACAAATTAACTTTTGCCCTGGTTAGTGTGGCCCAAGGGTCGCGGCTTTGATTCCCAGTAAGGGCACATGCTTGGGTTGCGGTCCCCGGTTGGGGGCATTTGAGAGGCGACTGATTGATATTTCTCTTGCACATCGATGTTTCTCTCCCTTTCCCCCTCTTTAAAATAAATAAATAAAATCTTAAAAAATTAACTTTCAGAAAGCACTAAGGACAGGGCCTGGCAACGACACTGGTGGGCAGCATTAACCACACTGTTCTCGTACAGGCTGCTGGGTCAGAGAGGCAGAGCCAGAGGAAAGGGGCTGTTCCTAGACCCTGCCACTCCCCCTCCACTGTCATCTCTCTCCCACCCCAGAGGACTGGGGAGCTGCTGGAGGGCAGGAAGGCCTGATTCCTCCATGTATCCCCAGGGCCCTCCCACAGGGAAGAGGACGGGACATGCAGGACCTAACAGTGGACACCAAGACCTGTGTTTCCATCAGCCTCTGGCCTGTGACCCAGCCCTAACGGCTCCCCACTCTAGGAGATCCCTCGGTTGGTCCTTGTGGCCCCAGACTGGAGGGTGGAGTAGCAGGCAGGGCAGGCAAGAAAGACGCCTGTTTATCCAAGCAGCCAGCTAGTGAGGAGGAGTCCGTGGCTCATCCAGGGCGAAATCCAAAGGGAGAAAAACAGGGTGTGCAGCAGATGTTGGAGGATCCACAGGGTGGGATGTCTTTAGAAGGACTGCGCTCCCAGCTAACCAGTAGCACAATATCCCCACTGTGATCAGGTTAGGCCTGAGAACGCCCACCTCTAGGTGGGCAGGGCCCATAGTCTACCGAAAAGGTATAGTAAGCTCTCCCTCCTTCCCTCCACAGCTGGGGTGGGAAGTGGAAGAGGGGCTTGAGAAAGTAGACCCAGGCCCAGGCCTGCAAAGGTCGGAATGGATGGTTCTGAAATCCCCTTACCCCCCACCAGATGGCACCTGACACTTGGGTGCGCTCCAAGCCCCATCTGAAACCCGGGTTCAGACGCCAGCTTCCGGCTACCGGTGCATCCTAGGACTGAACTGCGGTGAGCCCCGGCTGGGGATACGGGGGTCTCCGGGAGCCAAACGTTGGCATGGGGAAGCCTGGCAGAGGGTTAGGGAGGGAAGCTTGACCCTCCTTCGCAGCCTCCTCCCTCCAGAATCGACCCAGCCCGGACGCTCGGGGGTTGTGACGTGAGTGATCGGGTGTCCGTCATTCCTAGCGGCGATCAAGAGTGTCAGGGACCGAGTACGGCTGCAGCCCGCATTCGGCCTCTGAGGTCCGGGTCACGCCGCTGCAGGCCCCACATTCGGCCTCCGGGTATCTGCGTGACATTCCCGAACCGAGCTTCCGAAGGTCAGGACCCTACCTGGCGAGCTGGCGTGAGGGTTCCGTCCACGTCAAACAGGCAGAGCACACGCTCCTTCCTGCGGGCGCCCTCAGTGGTCACAGCCATGGCTGCAGCTCCGCGCGCCCGGCAGAGTCGCGGGATGTGGCTGCCGGGATCGCGCGGCAGAGGCAAGATAGGGCGGGGCTGGGAGGGGCGGGGTCGGCAGCCTTGCCGGGTTGCGCCAAACTCTAAAGGGGCGTGCCCGGGGCGTGGTCTAGGCTGGAGGTGGGGGCCCGGGCGGGGGTATGGGCGGGGCCTGAGCTAACTCGTTAGGATGATTTTGATTGCACTAGGCGGAGAAGGGACGTGAAATGGGGCGGGGCAGAGCCCGGCACAGTCCGATTGTTCCCACCCACTCGGAGGCGGGGCCTGGGTGTGGAGGGGAGTGAGGGGTAGAACCCGGAAGAGAGGGTTTGTGCGGCAGCTCGGCGGTAGACGGAGGATTCGGATTGTTTCTAGCGGTGGAGGGGCTGGTCGGGGGCGGGGTCTTCAGTCCGAAGTGCACGGCCGCGCGGGGCGGGGCGAGGGCGGGACTGTCCCAACTCTCCGTGCCCGCCTTAAATTACTCATGACTCGCCCCTCCCTGCTAATACCTTTCACCTAAAAATCTTGAGGTTGAAATCTGATGGCCTTTGCTCAGGCTCTGGACTTTGCCAGATGGCCATCCTCTCTCTTCTCCTGCTGTCGTTCTGTCCATTCCATAAGGCTCAGAGCACGGCCCACCTCCTTCAAGAAGCCTTCCTGGATCTCTCTTTCACAACTATTTAATCATCACGTTGACCCTGGGGTCAGTTCTAGGCTGTCTTCCGGTTCCTCTACTATGTGACTTCCAGCAAGTCATTTCACTTCTCTGAAGCTTTGTATTTCTATTTGAAAAATGGGAAGAACACCTACACTGTAGGGTTGCTGTGCACATTAAAAAAAGAAAAAAATGTGTAAAAGACCCTGCAGAACACCTGGCACACGGTAGGCTCACTCCAAAGGAGAATTTGTCTAGATAAGCTTGATACTGTTACGGATTAAACAGCCATTGCCTGTCAAAGTCTTAAAAATGTGCAAACCTTTTGAGCCAGCAGTTCAACTTTTAGAAAATAAGAAAAGGGGAAAAAAGGAGGATTCGTTAAATTAACTATGATCCATCTATAAGATGAAGTCATAAAAAACCATGTTGAGGAATATTTATTTATTTTTAAGATTTTATTTATTTATCTTTATTCTTTTTATTTTTTAAAAAGATTTTATTTATCTCTAGAGAGAGGAGAAAGGAGGAAGAGAAACATCAATGTGTGGTTGCCTCTCTTGCGCCCCCTACTGGGGACCTGGCCGGGAACCCAGGCATGTGCCCTGACTGGGAATCAAATCAGTGACCCTTTGCTTCATGGGCCTGTGCTCAATCCACTGAGCCACACCAGCCAGGGCTGTGTTGTAGAATATTTAATATGGAAAAATCACGATCCTGTTTTTGATATTGAAAAGTAGCAGGCTTTCTCTGGGTGTTAGTATCATGAAATTCAAAGACATTTCCCTCCTTGGAAATGTGTTGGCTACAGCTTCCTTCCTCTTCTCCAGGGCCCTCTGTTTTTCCCTTCTCCCACACTCCAGAGCCAAAGGCCTGCCTCCACATCCCTCTGTGCTCCCGGGGGTTGCCCTTCAGCTTGAGGCTTTGCCTGGGAAGGGATTTTTGCTGCACTTGCCATCCTTGCCCTGATTCCAGTGATCAGCTCGGGCAGTTAGGTCATGCAGAGACACACTCATCCACACACCTATGAGTGGCACCACTGTGCACCATGGTTTTGATGGCCCGTCTGCTTTTCTGTGTTGGTAGCTGCCGTGAGGAGACCACTGGTGTCAGAGTCCAGGAAACTGCAGTTTGATCCCTTCTAACAATAGGAGTTGAACAGATCACCTTCCCTCACTGGGCCTGCTTCTTCATCTATATAATGGGGACATAATTCCCACCTGTTAGGACTATAGAAGGTGAGATAGTAAAAACTGATATTTGTCAATCCCTGATCGTGTGCCAGTCATCATACTGGACACTTGGCCACACATCTTCATTTACTCCCACAGCAGCTCTAGAAGGTATTATTGTCTCCACTTGATGAAGAAAAAGGAAAGGATGAGCCCAAGGCTGCACAGAGCGCCTCCAGGCTGACAGGGCTGAGACCAAGCCTCAGGCACAGAATTTAAGCAGGCACAAAAAAAAACACCCCAATAATCAAGATAGTGTTTTAATGTAATGTGTTTTTTTGGTTTTGGTTTGGTTTTAGGTTTTATTTATTTATTTTAGAGGGGAAGGGAAGGAAAAAGAGAAACATCAATGTGTGGTGGCCTCTCGCACGCCCCCTACAGGGGACCTGGCCTGCAACCCAGGCATGTGCCCTAGACTAGAAATTGAACCTGTGACCCTGCGGGTCACAGGTCAGCACTTAATCCTCTGAGCCACAGCAACCAGGGTTGATGTAATGTTTTTTAAAAATCAAAACTAATGCAAGAAAATTGGTGATGAGCACTGACCAGTGTGGCTCAGCAGGTTGAGAGTCCTCCTGCAAAGCAGAAGTGCTGCCTGTCACTACCAGAATCAGTAAGCAGAGACAGGGATTGAATCTTTACGGGCACTTTATTCAGACGGACAGCGATCTGAGAAGATGGTGGGTTATGTGCCCTGACAGATTGTCTTATATTTCACTTTAAACCGACCCTTTTCATAAGGAGAAGAGAAGTGTAGGTAAGGGGATTGGAATTCAGGGGAAAATTTAATCAGATAAAAAGCTGCGTCATTCTCTCATCTGTGTCCTGGGCGGTGGTCCGGAGCTGGTAGTCCTCGCCCTGGAGCACAATGGCTCAGATACCATCTTGGCCTCTTGCAGTCCTCCTGAGGCACAAAGGTGGAACTGTTTATGGTCTCCTGGAGTCCAGGCGGGTCATACCTTCAGTTCCTGGAAGAACAATAGCTTTTTACATGCATGGATTACTAAGCTTATTGACTATTATTTAGAACTAAAATTTTCCATTTCTCGAGTTCCGCCATCAAAAGGTCGCCAGTTCCATTCCTGGCCAGGGTACATGCCTGAGTTTCAGGTTTAGTCCCTGGCCAAGGTGTGCAGGAGAGACAACCAATCACTTGATATTTCTCTCTCACATCAATGTTTCTCCCTCTCTTTCTCCCTCCCTTCCCCATCTCTAAAAATAAATAAATAAATAAATATTTAAAAATTTTTGTGATGTACAAAATATCAAAAAATATAAAAGAGAGGCCCTGGCTGGTGAGGCTCAGTGGACTGAATGCCAGCCTGCAAGCCAAAGGGTCACTGGTTCGATTCTCAGTCAGGGCACATGCCTGGGTTGCAGGTCAGGTCCCTGGTAGGGAGCACGCGAGAGGCAACCACACATTGATGTTTCTCTCCCTCTCTTCTTCCCTTCCTTCCCCTCTCTCTAAAAATAAATAAATAAAATCTTTAAAAAAATTCTGTAGCCATAAAAACATTGAAAACAGAGAATCAATAATCATTCTGAGGAGCCATACTGGAGTCAGAGACAAAAGCAAAAATCTTTTTTCCCAGGCCCCGCAGCAAAATTCGGTTCATTGGTGAGACAAATGTATTGTGTCAGACATTGTTGGGAGTTCAGGGAACACTATAGAAAAACGAGAAGCTTTTGTTTTCTGTTGGATGCAGACAGAAAACAAAACCATCTCCAGGGGAGAGAAGAGGAACTCTTTCCCTTTCACCTCCTGCTCCAGCTAGATCTGGTCTCTAAGACTCAGGCCACCGGCAGCCCTAAAACCCTCTTCCGGGCCCACCTGTGGGTGGATCTGTAACTGGCCAGATTAGTTTCTAACATCTCACAGCTGACACCTATTCCATTGCATAAGAATTCCTAAGGAGTTAGCTAAATGCAGATGCCTGGGCTCCACCCCGTACTGGAATGTGGAAGCTGTAGGATGGGGCCCATAGGGCAGGACAAGTGTTTGTCCCCCACGCATTGGGTCCACCTTTGCAGAGACAAGCAAGGATAAGCTCCCAATAATAGCGCTTTAGACCTGTAGTGACCCAGTTTCTTCACAAATACCTTTCACGGCCTCTCCCTAATGTCTCACTACAACCATTTCAGTGAGGTGGACACTGAAACCCAGAGAGGCAAGTGAAACGCCCTGAGACACAGACCCAGGAAAATCAGATGGGGTGGCCCTTATGGCCACCAGTATGTCCCTTTAAGAGGGAGACTCATCCCTAGCAACCGGTGTTCAGGTGTGGCCTTGGGGAGGCCCCAGGGAAAGCGAGGAGCAGGACCGAGGGAGCTGGGACTGAGACGCCTGGCTGGGAGTGTGTTTCCAGAGCAACAGAGGAAGCCAGGCTTGAAGGCAGGGGCCCGAGACCCCATCCGGGTGGGATCCTGCGCGGGAAGGAAGCCTGGGCTCCTCTGGGCCAGGCAGTTGGCTAAGGCTTGAAGGTCAGTGACTTCCATGTTTGCTCTGGGCAGGTATAGAGCTCATGCTTTGGGCGTCTCATTTACTTTCGCCAGAACCCTCCGAGGTGAGTACCCTTATACTTAATTCCCAGATATAGGTACTGACACCAGAGAGGTGAGGTGGCTTTCCCGTGTCACACAGAACAGTCAGGATTCACACTCAGTTCCAGCCCCCTAAGCCCATGCTTTTCCCTGGCCCCTTGATGGGAGGCCAGGTGTCAGCATGTTCCTGAATGAATATGGTGGCGTTGACCCTCTTTTCCCCTAGCTTAAGTGTGACCTTCTGAAGGTGGGTCGTCTCGGCGCAACAGGGCAGCCCAGGGGTAGTGGGTGTACAGTCGGACTGATAATTCCTGGGGCTGCCCCTCCCAGCCAGGTGGCCTTGGGCAGGTCCCTCCCACCCTCTGAGCCTGTCATTGCTAAATGGGACGGCCACTGCAGCCTGTCCAGGCTGTCAGGAAGACGAGGGTGCAGGCGAGGAGATGTGCTTAGACTAGTCGCTAGAGGCTCTGCAGGGAGCAGGTCGGGGCTGTTGCTGGTTTTGGTTCCATCTTGGTGCTGAGCAGTGGGTGGCTGGGGAGACTGTGGGTGTTGGCTGTTTTTCCTTAATTTTCCAAAGTGCCTGCAGAGCTTACATTGTTTTCACAACAAACAAGTGTGTCGCATTTAAACAAGCTGCAGTGAGCATGTTTAGAAGTGGTTTCTGGAGCGGTGGAAGCTGTTGTGGCTTGGCACAGGCCCCCTTGGGACCCCCTTGGGGCTCCCTCAGCCGAAGCCAGCGGGGACAGAGGTAGCCCCAGCGCTGCCCCACCGGGGGTGAAGAGCAGGGACAACAGCCTCTTGACACCTGGGGTGCGTGATCTCTGGCTCAGACCTGAGACCCGAGGACAGTGAGACCTTGGGCCAGCCACTCACCTCCACAGCAGGAGCAGGGAGAGGAGTCCCCTGTTTAGGAGGGACCTTAGAGACGATCTGATCCACAATTTTCATCCTACAGAAGAGTAAACTGAGGCGCAGTGAAGGGGAAGCCTTAATCAAGGTATCTGAGGTAGAGGTTTTTTTATGGCCCACCCCTCCCCCTCAGTGTGGGCCTACCGGGACTGCACGGGAGGACTGATTCACTGCATGGCGGCAGCTGTGTGCCAGGCCCTGTGCTGGGTGCTGGGTGCCCAGGGGATCACAGCCAGGCCCTGCCCCAGCTGGCGGGAGTGTTTCGGGGAGGCACCTGCAGGAGGGCAGGAGCAGCTGTGGGTGGGTAGAGCGGTCAGGAAGGCTTTGCAGAGGAAGTGCTGGTGCTGGGCCCGTAGCACTGGAGGAAGGGTTGCTCTAAGCATAGGCGGCGAGGGGTGGGGGGATGGAAGGTTTGGGAAGGGTGGGAATTCTGGTGCAGCCAATAGTGAATTGAAACCATATGTGGAAACCACCTGCGGTGATAGCAACCTGCTCTTACAGCAGGGTGTGGGGATTGGAGAAGTCGGGGGACAAGTTAGAGAAGGGCCTTGACAAGTGTGTTGCCCCAGGGGCTCTTTGGGGGCCAACGAAGTGTAGAAGTGGGTGGGGTGCATGGCATGCCCCTGGGACCTGCAGTCCCCCAGGCCACCCGTGTTTGGGGGTGGGTCGTGCCGCGTGGGTTCCACAGCGCCATCTGGTGTACATCTCTCTCAGTGCAGCTTGATGTTGCCACGGAAACGGTGGGTGGGTCAGAGATCTGGTTACTGATCAACCTGAACAGAACTCCTGGTCCACCTTGTAGACCAGGGGTTCAGTCCCCTTCCAAAGCAACCAGGCTCCGTGGCCGAGGGCTCACGATCCCAGTGTGAGCGAGCCTGAGGACACAGAGGTCTCACGGTGCAGCTGGCCAGCCTGGGCAGACACCTTCCTGCTGCACCAGCCCACCCTCCACAGCCGTCCTGCTTCCATGCGCGCATCTGTGGTGAGCAGCCTACTCTCACCTTGCTGGAGCCGCGCTACACGTGGAGAGGACGAAGGCAGGTACCACACAGCTCGTCTGCTGTGTGTGTGGCTTCAAACCCACGGGAATGTCTGTAATGATGTTCACGAGATGCTCTCTCTCAGGATGAAGGAATTTTAGGTCACTTTCTCCCTCACCTCTGTGCTGTTAGGGGTTGCTTATATTTTCCAAATATATATAAAATATAGTTACACAGCCAAAAACTTATTTTCATTTTGGAAAAAACTAAGAACTGTAAGCACACCCCAAATCAGAGCTGGAGTAGCCCAGTGAATGCTTGTGGAAGCAGGGCAGTGGCTGACAGTGGCTCTGCGGCCCCTGTAGCTCTTTTTTTTTTTTTACAGATTGTATATGTTTTTAGAGAGAGGGGAAGGGAGAGATAGAGGGGGAGAAACACCAATCAATTGCCCGCCCTGCCCCCTGCCACATCCCCGACTGGGGACCTGGCCTGTAACCCAGGCATGTGCCCCTACCAGGAACCGAACCAGGCACCCTTTGGTTTGGGGGATGATGCCCAACCCACTGAGCCACACCAGTCAGGGCTCCCTGCGGCTCTTGCCTTCACATGTTTCTGTTGTCTTCTGTTCCTCCCGGCGGGGGGGGCAGGAACCAAACTAATTTCCAAGGCTGCTTCTTCACAGCTCCAGGCACCTAGCAACACGTAGTATACCTCACCTGTGGCCTGACAACCACAGTGCCCCCACCCCCCGGTTTTCTGAGGCCCCTACTGCCCCCCCCCGCCCCAGTCTGTTCTCAGTGTAGCAGCTGATCACGTCCCTGTTTGACCTGCAAGGCCCTGCTCCGTCTGGCCCGCGTGAGGCCTCCCCAGCCTCACTCCCCCACTCCCTTCCCCATTGCTCTGGCACTCCGGCCACTCCGGCCTCCCTTAGCGCCTCCAGTGTCCTTTTCACTGGCTGCCCCTGTGCCCGGAATGCGCTTTCCTCAGATCTGGGCCTCGTTCCATCTCAGACTGGACATCCCTTTGCCACACGAGGCTTCCCCAACTCCTTACACACACCCCCGCTCCACACTACGCTGCCACCTGGTTCTATTTCTTCCTGAGCACTGTCGCCACCTGAGGTGACCCAGTGCATACCCTCTTGTCTCCCAGCCTTCTTGGAAACCACCCCTGCCCAGCGGGGCCCTGTCTGTGCCCTTGTCTGCTCAGGGCCCAACGCTGCCTCCCACAGTGTGCTCCCGGGGAAGTGTGTGCGGGGTTGAATGAGCCCACTCCACACGGACTCGCCAAATGGAGGGGTGAACTGTGTTTTCTGCCATTCCCCCCAGAAGCAGGCAGTGCGTGTCTCCAGTACCCTGTCCTAAAAACTGTCCCCGGGAGAGAGCATTGGCCGGGGCCTCTGCGTGGAGCTGGCTGGCAGAGCCCTCAGTCAGTGGCAGGTGAACGGCTCTTCCCGCAGTCCGATGTTCACCGAGCACCTCATCTGTGCCGGGCGCCCGCAAAGTGCTTCACAGTGACTCTCCTCAAAGCCGCCGGTGGGAGAGTCCCATTCGAATGCCCCGTCTTAGAGGTGAGACGGGTGGGCCCAGAAGTGGCCAAGTTAGGGCTTCAGCCCAGGAAGGACCAGGGCGGGCACTTCTAAGGAAGGACTCCTGTCTCTGCGCCTATCAGCTCTTGGGAAGCAAATCTATCAGGCAAAGCCACCAGTCCTGTATCCTCTGGAGACAGAACCTCATTTTCTTCTGAAACTAGCACATTGGAAAGACACAGTGCTCCAGTGGGGTGCTGGTGAGAACGTGACCTTGACTCAGGGGCACAGCCTCCTGTCGCCTGGGTGACCGTTCCCCGTCTGTGAACGGGACCAGGACCCACATCCCCAACCCACCGTGGAAACATGGCACAATCCGGGCTCCCTCGAAGCGGGGTGACTACCCCTGAAGACATGTGCAGTCAGGCTGGGGTGTCTGGTTGCGGCAGGGGGTGAAGTTACAGTCACAAGGTGGGGAGAGATCCCTGGGGCCGAGCTGAAACCACAAGTGTGTGCTTCTTGGTGAGGTCAGACGCCCCGATGGCCGAGGTCCTCGCAGATGTTGGGGCCAGCAGCCAGGCTCGCGAGTCTTACCCACCCAGCAGCGGTGCGGGGACCTTGGGCAAGCAGTCTTCCCTCTGGGGCCTGTCTCCACCTTTATGGACCAACGGTGAAAGCCGCCCACTCTTTGCCGCCACCTCCACTGATCGGTAAGGCTCATGACCAAGCGAAGGCGGCATGTCCAGACTCAGCAGAGTCAAGGTCAGAGGCAAACAGATCAAGAGCAGGGCTTCTTCATGTGGGGTGCACCCAGAACTTCACGCAGGACACAAAAGCAGCAGGCAGAAGTGTTTATTGCATTAGAAAAAACATCACAGAAAACCAGCAAACACCTCCATACTAAACCGTTATTAGTTTGACTTCAAGGGCAAAAAAGAATCTCAAAGGTACAAGCTTTATTTCTGGGATGGGGTGCCGTCTCATCCCTCTTCCTTCACACCAGTGGGCCTCTCTGGGGTGCCCGCTGCACGCTACGGTGAAACACGGCTCGTTCTGCTCGCCCATGCGGAGCTAGCTGGGCACAGTGGCCACGCTCCTGGGGTGCTGGCAGACAGAGGGATGCAGAGATGGGTGGGGGCGGGGGGCGCCGAGCCTGAGTCTGGGCTGCCGGAGTCAGTGCCGCTGGGACTGGGGTGGCGTGGTGGGGGGGAGCTTGCTTTCCTGCAGGGCTCTGAGAAGACAGTTGACTGACCCGTTTCCCCCTGGGGCACAGGCGTTGGCACAAATGGGTGTTGGACATGAGAGGGACCTTCAACGAGCCAAGTGACTCGAAGTCTCTCAGTGGAGCCGTCTCTCAGTACTGCCTCGGGTCTGGAGGTGACTGTTGGGGCGGCGAGCCCCACTCTCTGGCCGGAGCTCTGGGCAGAGAGGTCTGGAGCAAGAGCCCGCTGGAGAGGGAGACCTGCGCAAGGCGAGCTGGAGAAGGCACGGGCCAGCACACTGCCTTCCCGGGACACGCCCAGCCTGCAACCCAGTCTCCACGGTCCATTCTGCTCGTCGGTCAACATTAAGTGCCAGTTACTGCTCTGATGTATCACTGCTCTAGTGTAGCATTCTGGCAAATCCGTGGGTCCTGATTAGAACTAAACTGCTCCTTGGTTTGGCCTCCAATCTTAAAAGTTCCAAAGTGTTACTTGACATCACAGCTGGTCGTCATGTCACGCACGCGCCCCGGGTCAGGCCACAGGCAAGCACTAGGGCAGCGGAACGTCTCTTCCTCTGGCTGAGACCCTGCCGACGCCAACGGTTGCAGCCGACGGCGCAGATGGGAGGGGAGGTGGCCGGGGTGAGCAGCAGCTTTTTGGAGAGGAAAGGCACCTGCTGCAGGCCAAACCCCAGGAAAGACAACATAATTCAAGTCTGAGAAGTGGCAGGAGGGGCCCATGAATGCCGGAGCGGGGACGCAGGTGCCTGGCAGCTGAGTCCTCCTCCCACCTCATGTCCCCAAGAGCTGACTTAAGGGGAGACTCAAGTGAAGAAAAGGAATCCGAAAGCCACTCTAGATAAGAGACTTCCAGATTTTTCCCTGCCTGTAAGCTCTTAACAGCAGCTCATAAGGAAAATGCCCACGCATGCCATGCCTCCCTAAAGTCAGAATGACGACGGAAACAGCACGTGTCTTCACAGCACATTTAGGGTAATGTGAAAATTCCTACCAGCAGCAACTCTGAATTTCCTTGCCACGTCGACTGCGCATTATTGTTCTTTCTACATCAGGGATCTTTTCCTGGGGCAGGGAGTCCTCTCCCCTTGGTCCCTAGCTGCAGACAGCATGCTGGCCTGGGGGGCGGGTCCAGTGACTGCACGTGACCTACGTTATTACTGGCAGACAGAACGCCGGGTCTCTGCGGCTCCAGCCCAGACCTTCGTTAACCACGACAGGCCAGCCCTGCTGAGGAAGAGCAGCCCGCGGCGGCAAGGCAGGTTCTCCAGGAGCCATGTCGGAGGGTTGGCACTCGGTCCAGGAGGGAGGAGGAGTGGCTTTGTCCCGTGTTCTCCACCTGACACTGGCTGTCACTCTCCCTCAATGTGCGGTTCTGGCTGCTCCAGCTCCGGCCCCAGGGCCTTCCCGGGGGACAGGAGGGAAGGTGACACAGGTTGTGGCTAACGAGTTCACTTAGGTTGGGCGAGTCCTTCTCAGACGGGTTCCACGTGCACCAGCTCCTTTGGTTCATTTAGCACTAGAGAGCATCCGCTTCCGGGTCATGGCTGTTGTAACACTCACCTGGGTAGAGCGTGGGCATTCTCTGGAAAGAGGTTCTAGGTTGGGGCTCCCCCAAACTGTGATTCCACTTTCTGCGGTAACAAACCCACTCCCTCTCTCGAGCGTGGGGGACGCTTAGGAAGCAGGGTCACAAGTGAACTCACAGACAAGGCAGCCTTAATAAATTAGTGTAATACTATTGGAAGGGGTGGCGTTTTGTTCTGTTGCTTAGCAGCATTGTCCTACACGCAGCCTGATGATCTCCTTCCCTGGGAAATTTAAAAAGCTGTCCCCTGGTTGTTAGCTCTGATGTAAAATTATAAAATAGAAATCTGGTAGGGTTTGTTTTGTTTAAAAAGAAAAAGCCCTGGCGAGACAGGGCGGTCCGTGCGGTCCTGTTAGCTCTGGCCGTTGGGTCGGCCCACGGTGCTGCCCCCGGGAGGCTGGATCTGGATGGAGTCCAGGAGGGGCCGCAGGGCCTGTCCGAAGGGGCTGCGGAGAGAACAGACGCGGGAGCTGTGGCGGGCCCCGGGCACAGGCTGCCGCGGCCGGCGCCCCCGCGTGGGGAGGGGCTCCGTCGCCCCACTCCATTTTCTCACCTACTCCCCCGTGCTTTTACACGGGTGGGGGGGGTCTCTAAATAGCCCCCTCCGCATTTGGACTCCTGAGTCCCCTCCTCAGTAGATGCTACCACTCACTCCCTCTGCTTCTAGGTCCTCGTTAGCTGTGGCTCCAACGGGCTGACTACACACAGGGACTAGAGCTTCCTGTACTTTCTGTACTTGCGTCTTGAATTCTCAGGGTACGAGAGGATAAAAATAAAGTTTAACGAGGAAGCTGAGTTTAACAAAAAGAAGAAAGGGACATGAGAAAGGCAGAGTCAGGAGTGAAATTCCTCCAGGAGCCGAGGTCTGCCGGGGCAACAGGGAGGAGGCGGGAGAAAGGGCACACGCAGGCCGGCCGCCAGAGGGCGCTGCTCTGGGAAGGGCCCCCCTTCGCTCCGCGGGAAGTTCGGAGGAGCTCAGCCGGGAGGAACGCTGCCCTGTCCCTCCGAGATTCTCCACGGCTACCTCAGCCTTAAGACAGGTTGCCCACAACACATCTTGGATACTGGGGTCTGGTTCCTTTGGTGGATGCTGCCATTTTTGAAAACCGTCCCCAAGCTCGTGAGAATGAAATATTCCAAAACATAAACAGATGAAACTGAGAAACCGTATCTTTCATTCAGACAAGGTCAGAGGCTCCACCCATCAAATAGTAACAGCAAGAACATTCCAGCGACTAAAGCGTGCTCTGGGCCCCACAACCTAGATCCTGGAGTAAGGCTGTGGGGTTTAACACACCCACTGAGGAAGGCAGGGCCGGGGCCGGGAGGCGGGGCTCTCCTCGCCAGCTCGACACAGAAGCCTCGTTTCCTATGCGAGCTTTTCCTGAGGGTTCCTACCCAGGGTGGACACAGCTCGCCTTGCTGGGCTTGCTAAACCTGCCAGCACCCCTGCTGGACAGGGCCCAGCTCAGGAGACACTGAGTCAGAGCCAGCAAACGGACACGGTCCTGGAGTGGGCAGGGGCTGCCTGAACAAGCTCAATGGCAAAGGCTGGGAGGGGTGTGATGGCTTTGGGTGGCCGTGTCCTTTTATTTATGATTTTTTATTTGTTGATTTTAGAAAGAGAGGTGTGTTGGGGCGGGGAGGGACAGAGACAGAGGGAGAGAACAGAGATTTGTTGTTCCACTTGCTTATGCACTCATGGGTTGATTCCTGTATGTGCCCTGACCACGAATCAAACCCTCAACCCTGACGTCTTAGGATGACACTCTAATCCAGCGAGCCACCTGGCCGGGGCTAAAAAACGCTGCGTTTTAAGCAGGCACTCCTGGGGCGCGGCGTGCCCTCCGTGCAATGGGAAGGCTGCATGAGTGGGCTTCCAAGTTCTGCGACTGCACTCGGGCCCGTAGAGGGGTCAGCCCCGAGCAGGGCGAAGGTAACAGGTGAGCCTTGCTGAGCAGAGGGAACGGTGGCCTTCGTGACAGGGCCCACCCTGCCTGGGGCGGGTCTGCGGACACCAAGGGAGGGCAGATGTGGGCAGAGGAGAGGCGCTGACGGGGGCGGGGGGGGCGGGGCCTGCAAAGGCAGGAGCAGAGACAGAGGCTACTTACGTGGATAGAACTTCAGAGGGGAGGTCAGTGATGTAAGAAGGGATCTTGCGCCCGGTCAGGAACTGGGCCACTTCGTTGCTGAAGGTGTTGCAGTTGTGTTCAAAGAGGTTGTAGGCCTCGCCCCTGTGCATTGTGGGAAAGGTCGGAGAACAGACGTGAGAGAGCCAGCTGGCAAGTGCCTGGAGTCAGGCACAGCCGGAGGCGGAAGGGCAGGCCCTCGAGGGCGGGGGTGGGGGGTGGGGATGGGGTGGGGTGGGGTGGTGTGGTGGTTTCCCTTCCCTCCGAAGGACTGCTCCACCTGCCTCTCCGGACCATTGAAAACAGATCCCGAAGGGAAGGATGAAACATGCACACGACGCTCCCCGACAGTCTCAGGAGAATCTTTACGTTCACAAGAGCAGAGCTCTGGCGCCTGAGTTTAGCACTTCCAGGGCAAAACTTCTCTCAGGGAGAAATCTGCTCAAGTTTGTATTTTATCCCAACCCCTCTACAAACCCTGTTTTGTTTTTTAAAGATTTTATTTATTTATTTTAGAGAGAGGGGAAGGGTGGGAGAAAGAGAAGGAGAGAAACATCAGTGTGTGGTTGCCTCTCACGTGGCCCCTACTGGGGATCTGGCCTGCAACCCAGGCATGTGCCCTGACTGGGAATCGAACCAGTGACCCTTTGGTTCGCAGCCTGTGCTCAATCCACTGAGCCACACCAGCCAGGGCCAAACCCTGCTTTTGATGTTCAGGACAAAATACCTTGGCAAGTGCAGGTGGAAAGCAGTGTTTGCTGAAATACCAGCATCTGACTTTAACCAGAAAGAATCAACCGTCCATCGTTCCCTCCAAGTTTCAGCAGAAGGTCTGCTGGGGCAGAACAGTGCCTTCTCTTCGTGTTTATTCAGCAGATGCTGGGCCAGAGCTTGTGCCGCGTGCCCTGGGGGCGGCCCCCTGGGGGCCGATCGCCCGGCAGGGGAGACAGACACACCTTACCGCCGCCCGCCCCCACTCACCGGAACTGGGACTCCCCCAGGGAGGACAGGTACTCCAGGAAGATCTCTTCTGTGACTTCTGTGTTCCCCACGTCAACCACAGAGTCCGGGGGCCCAAGCAGTGTCCCTCCCTGGAAGAGCCAACCGGAAGAGAGTCATTCAATTACCATTTCCATGGAACTTTTTAGTGTGGCTCCCCATGGAAGATGGAGAGCCACCACAGATGCTCTGTTCCAGCCCCTTCTACCTGTCAGAGCGCCCAGGGCGGATGAGGAGCGTTACTTCCTATCAGCGTCGGGGCCACATGGCTGGCAGGGGTGCCAACCTTTCGGCGTCTCTGCCCCACACGGGAAGAGTTGTCTTGGGCCACACAATTAAATACATTGACACGTAATCACACACAAAAATCTCATAATGTTTTATGTAAATTTACGATTTTGTGTCGGGCCACACTCACAGCCCTCCTGGGCCGCTTGTGGCCCTCGGGCCGGACGCCCCGGTTAGAGCTTCCTGGAGACGGACTTCCCATTGCCGGAGCTAGACGCTGGGCTTCTGGTTCCGGGGGGCCTGGGAAGCTGGGTCGCACGTAGGCCAGGCTCCCGGCGCTGTCCACCCATTCAGGTGACAGAGAGACAGGTACCCAACACCTGAGGTCTCCCTTTGCCCCCAGCATGCCTGATCACGAGGGTGGAATGGCACCCATGTCAGAGAACAGGTTTAATGTCTAAGGTTTGTTCAAGGAGCGAGGAGAGAAGCGGGTAGGCAAGGGCGTGACCCGAAAACAGGCCACCCGGGGCCCGAGACCGGCCAGGGCCTCGGAGGTCATGCCGGGTCATGCCGGGCTTTCTGGTCTTTATCTCAAGAACCACCGGGAGAGTTCTGACTCAGGCAGGGGACCGCCACGGTCAGAGTCTCCTTCTGAAGCAGTCACTTTGCCCCCTGTGGGGGGACTGACTGACGAGGAGGAGCAGGTGCTCCACGGGGCCCAGGCCAGCCGCAGCGTGGCCTGGGTTCAGGGGAACGCTCCGGAGGAACGGGGAAAGGCGAGGAGAGCGAGACTGACTTAAGACACACTGACAAGGTGGCACTGGCTGGGCTTAGGGAAGGATTCCTTACAGAAGGCGCGCGACCGGTGAGGGGAAACCAAGATGACTTCCCCTTTGTGAGTATCAAGATGTGTGTCCTTTCTGAGCGCCCTGGTGACAGCCCTTAGACAGCTCAGACGGAAACACTGTGGAGAACGGCGTGGGCTTTAGGCAAAGACCTGTCAGTGCCGGTGCCGCCTGCCTGGCCGTGTGCCTTCGGCCGCCTCGCCTTCCCGCTCAGAGCCCTCGCGCCCAGCTGCACACTGGCTGGGGGCGAGCTGGGGGCCGGGCGCTGAGCTGCTCACGCGCACAGAAAAGTGAGACGCAGCCCTGGCTTACAAGGAGCTCACACGCAGCTCCCCGTGGAGATTCGGGAACGGCCCATTTCACCGTCACATGCTCGGTGTGACCCGGAGGGACCCAGAAGTGCCATGGGAATACAGCCGAGTGGCCGGCTGGAGGGTCCGGGAAGAACTTTCTTGGGCTGAGTCTTAAGGCAGTTATGAGAACTACGTCCCAGGCCCACATATGTCCCAGGGCTAGAAACCAGAACACGAACAGTCGAGGCCAGGTCCCCGGTCTCTGGGAAGCCCCAGGAGCCCGAGGCCGCAGGACAGGGCGTGGGGCAGGACTCACCGGGGGACAGCTGGAGATCCCGCCGCTGCCGAAGAAGAACTCGTCCTTGTGGACGACGATGGAGGTGTGCCTGCGGGTCAGAAGGGAGGCGGCGTGAGCCGGGAAACGGCAGACCGCCCTGAGAAGGAGCAGTCGCCGCCCCGCAACGAGATTCGCTTCTGCCCAAGGACATGACTGCGGTCAACGGCCTGATAACGCAAACCCAGCAAAGGCGAGATGAAGGACGTGGGTTACGGTTCTCAGCTCTGGTGCTGCTGACAGCCAGGGCGGTCCTGTGCGGTGCAGGGTGGGTAGCAGCATCCTGGTCCCCACCCGCCAGACGCCAGGAGCACGCCTACCCCCTCAGTCGTGACAACCAGACATGTCTCCAGACACTGTCAAATGTCTCGGAGCTGTCCCTGGCCGAGAACCACTGCTGTAGATCGTGTGAGCGAAGGGGAGTCCCTAGAGATTCACCCCGATTTTGACAAATCAATTACCAAAGTAAAGAGCAAGGGGAGTCCCCAGGCTTTTTAGACTGACGGGAGCAGTGCGTCTGGAGCGTGCTGATGCACGAGCAGGCGCTGTAACAAGTGCGGACCTGTTTCAGGCGAAGGTGCCCACATTATCTGCTTCAAGCTGAACGCAGCAAAAGGTTATTCTGGCCAATCCAACGTCAGCATGGGCGTCGACACCCGATGCTGACCTGTGGTTCCCTTGTAAATGGGACTGAGAGCTCGGCCACCATCCTGTCTGCCAGGGCCGAGTCCGCGGTGAGCGACCAAAGCAGCAGTGCTTTCACACAGACACGTGTGGCCCCGGGCCTCCTGCCGTCGGAAACCGTGCTCGGGGCGGGCAGCACAGCCGTCCGCCTTTCCCGAGGACGGGGTTTCTCAGTCTCTGCACCGCCGGCACCACCGCCACTGCTGGTGCGGAGGGCTGCCTGTGCGTTGTAGGCTGTTTACAGCAGCACCCCCGCCCGCCACCCACCAGAAGCGTCTCTGGACACTGCCAAATGTCCCGGGGTGGGGGTCGGGGGGATGACAAAATAATCCCTGGCTGAGAAGCCTGCATTGCAACTTGAAGATGTGTGGTACAGAGAGCCAGGTTTCAAGCCGGAAGCCACAGACTGGGGCCTGAAAGGCCTGGGTACAGCTGCGTTTCATAAACCAGCCGCTGCGAGGCGCCCCGCCCGACTTACCAGATGCCTTCCAGTTGTTTCCCTGTGGAGAGAAGAAGAGATTTAGCCACTGGGACCAGACGGAAGGCCTCCCAGCCCGAGTAAATTCAGAACGCCGCTCCCACCCAGAGGAGCCCGCCGCAAACCTCCCGAGGGACTTCCGCTTCTCCACTGCGCGTATGTGGGACAGTCCTTCAGAAATGAGAGCAAAACGTTGCACATGCCATCCACTTAGTCAACACAGTTGTATTCTGTCACTCTACATGACAGAAAAGAGGTCAGGTGGGAAAATGCACATATGCAAATATCACTGTCCTGCCTTTCAGGAGCCCAAAGTTAACAGGAAAGAGACACACACATAACCAACTAAAGCATGGTGCTGGCTTTCTGATGCGGTAAGAATGAGGCACCACCTGTGATAAAGATGACCACCTTCATAAGTGGCAGTCCAACCCGTGAATGAAGAGGGGCAGGATGGACGTTTCTGCCGGGGGGGGGGGGCAGCACGTGCAAACGCACGGCTGTGGAAAAGCCCATCCCGCAGGTCAGAGCGAAGGGTGCAGTGACGGTGACAACAGAACAGTGAGCAGCCAGGGCGCCAGCAAAGTGGGGTGAGCCTGCGCTGGGGGCCGTCCCGCACGGCGCGGGTGCTGAAGGTGGTTAGGCGGCAGAGTGCCTTGCTCAGATCCACATTTTCACAAGGCAGCTACAGCCATGACCAGTGTGGCTCAGCTGGCTAGGTGCAGTCCCGTAGCGCAAAAGGCCACCAGTTCGATTCCCTCTCAGGGCACGCGCCTGGGTTGTGGGTTTGGCCCTGATCGGGGCACGTACGAGAGGCAAGTGATCAGTATTTTCCATACCGATGTTGCTCTCCCTCTTTCTCTCTCCCTTCCACACTCTCTAAAAATCAATGAACATTAAAAAGATAACTCTAGGCAGAGAAGATGAGTTGCACAGAGGAGAGCAAAGACAGCAGACTGGAGTGAGGCCTGTGCAGTAGCCCACAGGAGCAGCACTACGCCACGGTGCTGAGGACGAGGAGGAGGGGCAGTGAGAGAGGTGAGAGCCCGAGCAACCCATGTACTTGCCTTCGGTGATGATTTCATGTTACTTGTTTACTGATTGCTAAATGCTACTTTCAGTACTCGCTCTGTGACTTTCTTAGGGATGAAACCCCAAGCACTGTGGGGAAGGAGAGGTGACATGCTTGGGCTTCTTCTCCCTTTTCCCAGGGATTGACCTGGGAAATACATGGAATATATTTATGGTCCCTTTAAGAAAACTTTTAAAATGGGATAGAAAACATGGCTCCTCAGGAGAACCTACTGATGGCTCCGTGGAGTGTCATCAGCAGCAGTTAAGAGAACAATAGGTTCATCCCTGGATGGTGTGGGTCAGTGGATTGAGTGCTGGCCTGCAAGCCAAGGGGTCGCTGGTTTAACTCCCAGTCAGGGCACGTGCCTGGGCTGTGGGCTGGGTCCCTGGTGGGGGCGCGCAGGAGACAACCACACACTGATGTTTCTCTCCCTCTCTCCTTCCCTTGTCCAATCTCTAAAAATAAATAAGTAAATAAATAAATAAGAGAGAGAACAGTAGGTTCAGAACCTGGCTTCTCCTGGTGGTAGTGGTGGGTCTTGGACAAGATTACTCAACCACTGTGAGCCTCAGTTTCTTCAATCGAGTTGTTGTGGCCAGTGATGATAATGCATGAAAGCATCGCGGTTGTGGTACACAGAAGTTTGATAAACGTAGACCACTGTTAGGTATAATGCCCTCCTTGGGGAAAGGGGTTAAAACCTCCAAAAGAGAAATGGAATCTGACATCAGGATTGGTGGGTGAGATCTAACAACAGATTCATCAACGAATTAGTATGAAATGCTGTATCTGTTTTACACATAAACATTTCGTTCTTTGCTGTTAGTGTTGTAAGGCTAAATGGAATAACAAAGGAAAATAGATGTAGCAGAATTCTTCTGCCTCTTTTCCAGCTCCAGATCTGCTGCTCCAGCCCACAAGATCGCAAATGGAAAAAGGGGTTTTGGCCTGGGGTTTCTGGGGTGGCCCCCAGAGACTGCGGGGCGGACTCCGTCCTTATCCAAGTTGAGCTACAGTCCCACAGAGGTGGGTCAGAAACAGACTGGATCCCAAAGGGGAGAGGCAAGCCATTTAGGACAAGCATCTTCAAGTACTGGCTTACTGGGCTGTAAGATAAATTGGCTTAGATTCTTATCTTTCCTAGCTGACTCTACAAGATCACTAAGTCTCCTCCTTCCTGTTTACTGTGTGTAAAATGGAGAGATTAGCATTGTGTTTTATTTTATTTTAAAGATTTTATTTATTTATTTTTAGAGAGAGGGGAAGGGAGAGAAACATCTATGTGTGGTTGCCTATCACGTGCCCCCAACTGGGGACCTGGCCTACAACTCAGGCATGTGCCCTGACTGGGAATCAAACTTGTGACCCTTTTGTTCTCAGGCTGGCACTCAATCCACTAAGCCATACCAGACAGGGCTAATATTGTGTTTTAAATAGAGCTGATGGCCCTGGCCAGCGTGGCTCAGTTGGAGCATAGTCCTGTAACCAAAAGGCTGCGGCTTTGATTCTCAATCAAGGCACGTGCCTAGGTTAAGAGTTCTGTCCCCAGTCCAGGCATGGATGATCCCTGGTTCTGGTGGGAGGCAACCAATGCTTCTCTCTTATATCCTCTCTAAAAGCAATGAAAAAATGTCCTCAGGTGAGGATAAAAAAATTAAATAGAGCTGATGTGCTCTTCCAGACTGCCATTTATAAAATAGCTTGTTGTCTAAATGGCAGGAATTTTGTTGTTTTATTTCCTTGAAGGCATGTAATAATGCAGTGAAATCGGACAGATTAGGGATACTGCTTTCTTTTGCCTGTTCTTCCTCTCATTCACTTCGGGAGGAACACTACACTCATACGAGAAAATACAGTGCAGTGGATAAGAACACAGGTTCTGGCGTGGACAGGCCAGGTCTGAATCCTACCAGGCCTATCGGTGACTAATGTTCATTGAGTGACTACTGTATTTCAGTGCACTAGAGATACATCAGTAAACAAAGGAGACAAAAATCTTCATGGCACTTACAAGGTTGGGGAGGGGACAGTTAACAAATAATAATAACCATGCTATCATAATAATAATATGTTAGCAACAATGAGTGATATAGAAAAATTAAGAGCAGGGTAAGGGAGATCGGGAGTTTCAGGGATGGCCAGGACGGGACTCTTTGAGAAGGTGACATTGGAGCACAGATCTGAAGGAGAGACGGGAAGGAGCTATGCAGATGTGGGCCAGGCCAGGTGTGTCTGAGGGATCTTCAGAAGGCAGGGTGGCTAGAGTGGGTGGGTGAGGAGGAGAAAAGTAGGGCATGAGCAGAGATAATAGAGGACCAGATCACAAAGAACCTTGTAGAAGTTGAGGACTTTTCTAAGCCTGACTGTCCAATATGGTAGCCACTACCAGTATTAAAATGAAAATTAAAAGAGTAAGTTCTGCTCCTCAGTTGCACTACCATATTTCCAGTTCACAACAGCCACACGTGGCTAGTGGTTACTGACAGGGCAGTACAGATGCAGAACACTCCCATTACTGCAGAAAGTTCTACCGTACAATGCTGTTTAACCCTTCGTTTCCTATTCTGTTAAAAAAATCCCATGATAATAGTGTCCACTTCATAACATTTCCAATATTAAAAGAGGTGACACATGAAATATGCCCAGCACAGTGCCTGGCATATAACACCTGCCTAAGAAAGGCTAGCTCATTTCTTTCATGCTTTCTTTCTTTCTTTCAAGATTTATTTAGAGGGGGGAAAGGAGGGAGAAAGAGAGGCAGAGAAACATCAATGTGTGGTTGTCTCTCATGAGTCCCTCGTTGGGGACCTGGCCTGCAACCCCCTTGTGCCCTGGCAGGGAATTGAACCACCAACCCTTTGGTTCGCAGGCCAGAGCTCAATCCACTGAGCCATACCAGCCAGGGCTCTTTCAGGTTTTAGAATTTGAAAGTTCTATGGCTGTTCTCACAGTACCTTGGTATCAAAACTACCTATTTTTGTGTCTTTCTCCCCCAATGGACTACAAGTGTCTCAAAGACAAGGGCAGTTTCTTATGCATCTTTGTAATTCCCGGACCAAACAAAGCACCTAGAACACAGATGCTGCACGCCCATCTGCTGAGATGAAGTATTGTCTGATTAGCTGTGTTGGTTGACATACGGTGGTATTGAGGCCAAAGTTCTTAACCCCAATCTTAGTTGCCCTGGCCTGTTATTCACAGGACTTTGCAACCTTGGCATACTGCACTGAGTCTGCTATTGTCCTCTTAGATGCCCATGCTCAGTGACCGAGGAAGAGAGCTGGAGATGCATCAGTCCTAACCCAGCCCTAGCAAATGAATGCAATTTTGGAAAGGGGTCTCAGAGACCATACTGTCAGTTATTTTACAGCTGAAAAACAATTCAAAAGTGGCAAGATACAAACTCTGCTTTATTCTCTTGACAGTTTCTGTATTGCTCATTAAATGTGTCTGGAAGCTGAACATGATGCTTCTTTCTTATTCAGCTACATCAAGGGACACTCAAGGTCTCATCCACTCACAGAACAGTGATAGGGACTATAGAAAACAGATCCAAACATGTGGAGTGAGCAGATTCAATCTTAATTTCAAGTGCTTAAACCCTGTCTGGTGTGGCTCTGTGGATTAAGCACTGGCCTGCAAACTGAAAGGTTATGGGTTCGATTCACAGTCAGGGTACATGTCTGGGTTGTGGGCCAAGTCCCTGGTTGGGGGTGTGCAAGAGGCAACTGATCAATGTTTCTCTCGCACATTTCTCCTTTTTCTCCTTCCCTTCTCCCCTCTCTAAAAATAAAATAAATAAAATCTTCTAAAAAAAGCGCTTCAGAGTTATCCTTATTCTCACATATCTGTACATGGCAGAGCAGGGCAAATATTTATTAACATCATTTTACAAGTAAGGACACATGGTTTATCTGGCATAAAACCAAGAAAAAGCAAGCTATGAT